GTCAAAACACAGTTACTTTGGGAGATAGTTCGGGCAATAGTGGGCAATCTGTAATCGGGTGATTACAATTTGATTCATACTTTGTGGTAGGATTCAGGGTTGGATCTCAATGCCTCTCATTAAGTCTCTTTTCCCTCCATGTGCTATGACATGCAGGCAGCTACCGTCGCAGCAGTGGTCAAGTTTGAGGACTTCCGGGACTACGCTTCGTCTCAATACACTGTTACCATATCACGTGCCCAACAACTGGCTTTGTCAAAGGCTGTTGGTGCAGTGCCAATACCGTCCAAACAATTAGAGCTAGCAAATCGCAAGAGAGAGAAAGAGCCAAGAGCGCAACATGTCTTTTAATGTGTTTTTTTTCGAGACAGTGCCTTTCCTTCCCAGAGTTGTTGCTAGTTGGATTTCCCATCTGTGGTATACATAGCTAAGGCAATACGTCTTGGAACAGCGAATTGCGCTGCAGGATGGATGGAATGTGGAGTTGAGGAGGAGAACCGCTGGGAAGCATGCTGGTGACATCTACCAAGTCTATGTCAGCCCTCAGGGCCGACAGAAATATACCTTGAATCTTGGTCTATGTTGTGTGTGATATGGGATATGCCTTTCTGCAGAAAATTTTGTATGAACGACACACCTTTACGTAACCAAAAGTTTCCTTTGAACTTGGTTCTCTTGATACACGGAATCCAGCTGGCTGAGGAAAGATGCTGCCAGTGAGGGCTTTTTAGATCCACAGGGTCTGGTCAAAGCTGCGAAAGCCAAGTTGCTAGGTGAATTTTTACGTGTCACGTTGTGACATGAGTATTCGTGATTTTCATCAACTTCCCTGTTCTTTGTGGTTTGTCTCCGCTCCCAGGCTGCCAAAGAAAAAGATCGACGCAAAGGAGTCCATGAACAAAGAGCCGTTGCAGCGTAAGAAGTCTAAGGTCAAGAAGCCCGCTGCAAAGGGTAGGGGCGCGCGTAAGTAGTCAAAGTGTTCACATGCTGGATCACAAATGAGAGTCAACATACTAGCCACGCAAAAAAACAAAATACAATTCATTTTATTTTTAAACTGTGTGTCCAGCAGCTGGGTGAGTCAGGGATTACCATTTTCCCTGCTTTTGGGGTGGTTCATGATGTGGTGCATCGGGTGGCCCGTTCTATCTTGATATATGATTAGTCTAAGTCATGTTTCAACTCTTCGTGTTTGAAGTGCAAGAGTTCTCATGCTGTAGTTTGTTTGCATGGTCATCCGACTGCCGCTGCATCGCCTGAAAGACTAGTCTTTTAGAACCGATATAGGCAAACATGCTGCCATGACACAGGGGCCTAGACATGGGTGGCGTAGGTCACAACATAACAGAAGTTTGGCAGTTCCCAACTTTCGATGTCAGACCTTTTCGCTGCCTATGTCCGTGTCCAACGACAACATGGCATGGGTCCGACAGAAAACCCGATGTGCTGCACCTTGCGTAGTGAGGAAGTGGTTTGCGATGAAGCCGCTCCACCTTCGAGCATGTGTAGGGTGCTGTGTGGTCCCATGATTGGTGTGTATAGTGAACTTCGCAAACCCTTTTGATTCAAGTTGCTGATCCATAGGCTATAATCAATGCTTCAAAATGAAGCCAGCTTATCTTATTGCAATTCTCGCGTGGCTATCCAGCAATGTGCCTTACCCGGAAGAACATGATGCGCTGGATGCAGCATCTAGCTAGCAAATGGTCATTGAAAGGCTATAGATTTAGGGCAATTGAAAGTATCTAGATTCCACGCATCCCCATTGGGCAACAAAAAAACTACAGCTGCTCAGGTAGAAATCTGCGCAGGAGAAGGACAGCTATCACGTGCTCTTCACGACTGCGGGTACCACATCAAGCCTTTCGATGTCTCTTGGCTGCAAGTTCCTCGTAAGTTCGTACATGTTAGAATGTGTTAGAATGCCAAGGGTTTTGTTTAAGTTCAAACTGGTTGCAACATGTTCTAACATAAGGTTCGCTACTCTGCCAACCACAATATACTTCGGACCACTGGTTTCGTGACAATTCTGGCGGCTGTGACTATCTTGCATTCAGCTCAAGCTCTGTTTCTGGTGTCTCTGGGTATTCGTGGGTATCCCTTTACCTCTCCATCACTCAGACCATTGCAGGTAAGAAATATTCGCAAAAATGAGCTACTCTTTCTAGCCCCTCCATGTGCTACATGGGTATTCCTGTATCTTGGTGATCAAATCAGATGGTATGCATTCAGGGCCAATCGGAGCTGCCTGAATGATGGACTGCTGAGGTCACAGGGATCCACCAAACGCAATTGGTGGAATCCTGGCGGCGGGGATTCCAAAACAGTACTCCTATCAAACGTGCTGGTGATGCGACTCCTTTACCTGTAACATGTCTGCCTCAGCAAGGATGATTTTTCCAAATGACACTTATGTTTGTTGTTCCAATGTGTACGTGGCATTGTGTCATCGGATGAACCTATCAGGATATATTATGCTCATCAGCGCGGAGTATATTTCGCAATTGAACAACCAATGACAAGTGCGACTCGGGCAGCAATGATATAAAAAGGTTATATCTTCAAGGCCTCTGGTTATTCCTTCCCCTTTGTTTCTAGCCGGATACAAGGTCCTTTTCATATGGAAGCCGGTGCGAATGCTGATGCAATGGTGCCGTGCCAGGACACGTATTTGATCCAACTTGCAGACTAAGCCTAGGCCAATTAAAAAACATGGACATATTATACAGTATCCAAACTGCATATTACGTAGTGAGATTGTGAAATACGTTATCTATGTGTTTGCCTCTTCAGGAGAGTGGCTTTTCCCATGGGGGCATTTGGAAGCCCAACGATGGAAATGACAGTGTCCTTTTGGTGGCATTTAACACATACAGTACATGTTTGGTATGTTGCTGGTTGCAACTAGTCTCGACCTTTTGCTCCACCGGCTAGCCAACCAAGTCTTTGGGGAACTTTGCCAAACCTATCTTCGCTACACCGCGCCTTGACCTGGGACCAACTGAAGCTGGCCTTGCAGAGGACTGGGTCATGTGGATCCGTTAATTTTCAAAACAATGTTGATGTGTTTTTTCACCATCATCCCAATGTAGGAGGCAGGAGAAAGATGGGAAAACAGTTCTTGTGAAGAAGACGAAATCTAAATCAGGTCAAACAAAGGTCGTCGCTTGGGTGCATTGGTACGTTGGATGTTGGATGTACCATAATTCACAACCTTTATACTTTATATAAAGCAACGACAATATTTGTTGTTAGGAACACTACATGTCTATACTGAGGCTGGTATCAAGTCTGCTTTGACCAAGAGCGGGGCCTACCCATATGAGTTTGGATGTGCCATCGCGGCGCTGATCCCGAAACGTGAGAGGAGGGCACATAGGGATTATTTTAATGTTGGGGACTTCCAGGGTTGCATGGTGGAGACACATGTGAACCCATCATAAATCTCCAAACTACTAGACTACATACCTTTAATGGTCCAAAAAAGGTTCCATATATAGTTTACAAAGTTCAATCTTATGGGTTCCAAAGTCATAGAGTTCCATGCAAGAATCCGGTGTGTACCGAAGTTCGCGTTTGGGTTGGAAAAAAATGTATTCTTGTACATGAGGAAAGAAACACAACATGGCGAACGATGTCATTGTGTCTACAATAGAACAGCTGAAGACATGGTATATGTTTTACCGTTGCCATTTCCGTTGATGTTAGGGTGTTTTTCCGGCAGCCAGTCCTAGAAAATGGCTAGCATGGTGCATGTGACACGTGTGCCTGAAAGTAGAGAAGAGTTGCAACGGTCACTTGAAATTCTGGGATGTGACCGGGCATGCCTCTCATGCTATATGTGTTTGATTCGCCGCTGGCTGGACGAGATTCTTGGTTCCTACTTACCCAGAGTTGGCAATGAAATGTTCTGAAGGTGACATGTATATACGAATAATACTACTTAAATCTTCCATGTGTTGTGGGACATTCGTTGAAGCACCTCCAACCCTCCGTACTCAGGAGCGAACGAGGACCACTTGCGGCAAATTGCCAGGACTGTCGATGTGATGAGATTTCCTGCCAACTCATGACGGAGTTGGAGCGCCGCCGGGCTGCTGAAAACCCAGACACTAACTAGATGTTAGATCGCACCAAGACGATTTGCCGGATACTACTTGACTCTGTCAAACTTTAGATCCAAACAGTTCCTTGGGGTGTGGAAAATACAGACTGTTGAACTTGCTGCTGAGGTGTCACGGATAATGTTAACCTCTGAAAAGCTGTTGGGTATATGGGTACCTTTTGTTTCCACAAGAAGTATCTGAATGTAACCACCAAATAATAGCTAGCTCACATATTCGAACCAACAACCATACGTTTTCATAGGTGATCTTATGGTATGGGACAATGCATTTTGGGGAATGACAACAGCTGGGCATAATCTTTTGGACAATGATATTTTTACCGAGCAAAAAGGGTTCATCTCCATTTCAAACCATGAGCCTGCAAGCTCGTTGGGCAAGTTACGGTAAAATCCCAAACGGAATCTGGTAAATGTTTTGGGCTTGAAATCTGAGAAAATTCCAAATCTATCCAAATCCCAAAAAAGGCGCGTGTCAAACGTGTCAGTGGCGTGTCTCGGGTGGTTCCTTAGGGGTGCCGTAGTGGGACCCCTTAAAAAGTGTCGGGGGTGCCCACCAAGTTCAGGGGGCGTGTCATTTCGTGTCGTGAAATCTCATTTTTGGTGGTTTGGTCAAAAAAAACGATCGATCTATTCTGTGGCTCCAGCGGGTTTTTTCGGGAACAACCTAGTCGATCTAGTTCCAGCCATGCCGGATGGAAAAGAGTTTGAGGCTGGCTAACCCTATTGAGTAGGGAAAACTCTGTAAGTAGTATTTGTTTATATATTATATATATATGGCTGACTATCCCTGATGTTTCATTTTCATGTGAGCATATGCACATGCTCCACTATTTATATCACAACGAACACTGATGTAATACTTGGCTGGGGGGCTATGTCGGCTACTTTACCTGTGCAGGTGAGCGCTGAGAAGATGAGGGCACTCAAAGCTCAAACTGTTCCGACAGAGGCTTTCAAAAAGTTTGAAAAGAAAAGAAAACAAGCACTTGAAGATACCGAGCAAAACAGAAAGGAAACAGCTGCACAGCTCAGACGTGTAGGAGAGGTGTTGAGAAACAATGCAGACTCCAAAGATGAAAGTGGCAAGAGACCGCCAAAGACAGGATCAGCAAAGGATGAGAAGACAAAGAACAAGTCTGGGGAGAAGCAGAAGGAGAAGGTTGCAAAAAATGAAGACCAGGAGGAGAACCAAAAGTCAGGTGAGAAGACTGGCTCTTCGAAGGATGAGAAGACAAAGACGAAACCTGAGGAGAAGCAGAAGGAGAACGCGGCAAAGAAGAAATCCACAGAGCCAAGCGAGGAGAAGAAGCCACATGAGAAGACAGGATCTGCAAAGGATCAGACGATGAAGACGAAGCCTGAGGAGAAGCAGAGAGACAAGGAAGCAAAGAAGAAAAGCAAAGAAGATGAGACCAAGCCGAAGTCAGTTGAGGAGACTGGCACAGCACAGGACCAGAAGACGAAGACAGAGCCTGAGAAGAAAAAGAAGAAGAAGGCACAGAATGAAGACCAGGAGGAGAACCAGAAGTCAGGCGAGAAGACTGGCTCTGCGAAGGATCAGAAGACAAAGACAACACCTGAGGAGAAGCAGAAGGAGAAGGCGGCACAGAAGAAATCCACAGAGCCAAGTGAGGAGAAGAAGCCAGATGAGAAGACAGGATCTGCAAAGGATCAGACGATGAAGACAAAGCCTGAGGAGAAGCAGAGAGACAAGGAAGCAAAGAAGAAAAGCAAAGAAGATGAGACCAAGCCAAAGTCAGTTCAGGAGACTGGCACAGCAAAGGACCAGAAGACGAAGACAGAGCCTGAGAAGAAGAAGAAGAAGAAGAAGGCACAGAATGAAGACCAGGAGGAGAACCAAAAGTCAGGTGAGAAGACTGGCTCTTCGAAGGATGAGAAGACAAAGACGAAACCTGAGGAGAAGCAGAAGGAGAACGCGGCAAAGAAGAAATCCACAGAGCCAAGCGAGGAGAAGAAGCCAGATGAGAAGACAGGATCTGCAAAGGATCAGACGATGAAGACGAAGCCTGAGGAGAAGCAGAGAGACAAGGAAGCAAAGAAGAAAAGCAAAGAAGATGAGACCAAGCCGAAGTCAGTTGAGGAGACTGGCACAGCACAGGACCAGAAGACGAAGACAGAGCCTGAGAAGAAAAAGAAGGAGAAGGCACAGAATGAAGACCAGGAGGAGAACCAAAAGTCAGGCGAGAAGACTGGCTCTTCGAAGGATCAGAAGACAAAGACAACACCTGAGGAGAAGCAGAGGGAGAAGGTGGCAAAGAATGAAGACCAGGAGAACAAGAAGTCAGGTGAGAAGACCGGCTCTGCGAAGGATGAGAAGACAAAGACGAAACCTGAGGAGAAGCAGAAGGAGAAGGCGGCAAAGAAGAAATCCACAGAGCCAAGCGAGGAGAAGAAGCCAGATGAGAAGACAGGATCTGCAAAGGATCAGACGATGAAGACGAAGCCTGAGGAGAAGCAGAGAGACAAGGAAGCAAAGAAGAAAAGCAAAGAAGATGAGACCAAGCCGAAGTCAGTTCAGGAGACTGGCACAGCAAAGGACCAGAAGACGAAGACAGAGCCTGAGAAGAAAAAGAAGGAGAAGGCACAGAATGAAGACCAGGAGGAGAACCAGAAGTCAGGCGAGAAGACTGGCTCTTCGAAGGATCAGAAGACAAAGACAACACCTGAGGAGAAGCAGACAGATTCAGGTCAAAAGCCTGGCACAACAACCAGTGCCACTACTGCTTTGAAGAGAGGATCTCAGCAGGCAACAGGAGAGATCCAGCCAGTGTCACCGGACAAGAAGAAACTGAAGTCCGAACATGCAAACCAGACAAAGAGAGACTTGGAGAAGGTACCTGGACAGTCTCCTGAGAAAAAGAAGGCAAAGGGAAAGGAGCCACAGTGGGAGGAGCAGATCAAGTTTCGTCAGGTGGGCGGGGATACATTGACACACCGCCCAAACATGTTTTGATATGTATGCTTCGGTGAACAAAACTTGGGGTGATTTTTGTTTTGACAATATATTTAATATAGATATTGGTTGGTTTATTCTTTTCTGACCAGTGGGAAATATTCAGTACAGAAGACGAATTCCGAGAATTGACATTCTTTGTTGCACGCTCCGAGTCTGGTGACTGGCCTTGTCTGTGGCCCATTGTTGTTCAATTCTGTCTCTGGCAATGGAACGGCGGTGGGTCATGGATGGGGGTCGCCATGCTGTGGATCTATAGATTATAGTATTTTAGGCAGTAAATATGTTATGTTCCACAAAATATTGCGCTCCTAACCCTTTGTTGTGTCTACCCCTGACATGTACCAGGACCCTCTGAAGGACTTGGAACGTGTTGGCACCTTGGACTCGATCGAATTAGCAACTCCGCGGCGTGAGCTGTCCTTCAGCGCGGCCCAGGCTCGACACAAGGTTTGGGTGGGATCTCCTGGATAGTGTTTGAGTTCAGAAAGTATGAGCCTGAACATATGGTCCTACTTTTGCTACTTCAAATAATCTATATTCTACAAATGGTATATATGATAAAGGGGATTTGTTTTATCCATCTGGCCAGGATACTCCATCTTCGGCCCCATCCAGTTCAGCTAGGCAGTCACCGATTTGACCACTGACCAGAAGGAATCGATTCTGGCCATGACCAAGCCCAGTGACCTTAACCCTGATGAGAGAAAGCGCCAGTATTCCTCATTAAGGAGAGCTATCTATCGGGATGCCCCACCGGCATTAGTTGCCAAATTCCAGATGTGCAGTGACGCTGAACGGTTCTTTGATTTGAAACCATGGGAGTTCTTTTTGTGGTCAGCTGGACTGCTTATATACTTCCCTTGTCATATGTTTCCACATCTTATATCTATACCTCTTGACATCCCACCGTGTGTTCCATGATGTTCCATTGTAGATCCCATTCTATATTATGTTATACAATATCTTCCGATGTCTCCTGACGTTTCATGATCATCCCCATTATATACCGTTATGTCCTAGCCACTCCTAAGCTGAAACCAAGGTTCACCATGTTGAAGTCATGGATGACAAACCCAGACTTGAGTTCCATCGACGTGGAGGAGAAATATGTGTCGTACGTGGAGCAGCTCCGCACTGACCGTTACACCACTGTGACTTGAATCTTTCTAAAAAACATTGACCCAGGAATGATGAAATGTGTTTTGGTTATGTTGCTGTTGTGGACTTTGATGATGGTTTTTAGGTCACGATCCTGCAACTGGAGAAAATTTATGGTCGCTCAAAGGGTGCCCAGGAGTTCATTGCCCAGATCACCAAGGGCCATTTAGCTGCAACAAAACTTGTTTGGTGTATTACTGTAGGTTGTGCTCCCCGAAGTGGTGTTTATTCATATTTATCATTGGTCACCAGCCTGCCATCCCAGGCCAGGTTGGTGTAGCTCACCCGCAGGCCCAGTCGGCAAGTTGGTCCCCAGCTGTGGCCTCTTGCCAGGCGCCGTCCTGCCCAAAGGCAAGAATGTATAAAGTCTTAAAGGAGGTAGTGGAAGACACCTCTACTGGGAAGCGTGCGGAGACCAATGTCACTCTGTAGCACCATCGTTCATGCACCAGTGTCACATTTGGAATGCATATACTTTTTTTTGAACATTCAGATCTACGGGTTTGTCCTACATACCGATCTACCTAAGGCTTCCTTGAAAGGAAGGGTGAGGGATGACAATGCGAAAAAACTCATAGCGAAGCAACTTGGAGGGCTGATGGATGATGTCCCGAGCTTTGATCTGAAGACTGGACAGATCAAGACTAAGAAAGCCAAGAAAGAAAAATCACCAGAAGACATGGCAGTGCAAGAGCTCAAACAACTTGAGAAAAAGTACCTTGAATTTAATGAGTTCGGATCTTGTGTGAAAATACTTCGTATATAAAATTCTCATACCATCATATATGGGACCTATCCACCAAAAAATATAAAGGTACTGTATACACTGTACACCACATCGTCCAAAACACTGCCATAGCTTTGTTTTCTATATGTATATAGGTTCGATGACTATTTTCAACTCACAGGGGAGTGCAGCTTGATCTTTCCAATGACAGTGCTGCTGTTCGGGTCCTTGTGCGTATCCAAGACAGCAGCCACCGAGGTTGAAGGCCTTGGTGAATGGCATTCCGAGCTGTATCAAGGAGATTGCGGATTTGAATGTGAGAAACTGCCAGGAGTTGGCAACTCGAAAACACCATTATCTTTCCAGAATTTGGGTTCGTCAGCTGTAAAGAAAATACATACTTCAACCTTATCTGTTGGGATGATTTGGTTCATGTTGGATCTTTGAAGCATCACCTGCCTACCCCAAGCCATTAGGTGACAAACTTGTTGCAGCATGAGAATACGGTAAAAAACTCCCACTCACGAGTCATGGAGAAGCTTAAGATCCCTGTGTCGTCTATCATAGCTGATGAGATTGCCGGCTTCATCCTCGTGGAGAAGGAAACTGTGAAAGACTGCGATGTTGATTTCCGTGACGGCAAGCGCCGTGTTAATGCTGCTAAGGCCCCCCGGAAAAGTCGGAAGGCTACTCCTGCTGATGCATGTGCATCATCTGCAGGTGGTAGTGAGTGTGACTGATATGGGTCACCCTGAAGTCACCTAATGATAGCTGTTAAGCAATGACATTTTTTTTAAGCGCAATATTTGGAATTTAACCCTGGTTACCCAACATAAACCCTGGACCTTTGACTGTGGGTGATCTGGGGTTTGCCGAAAAGAGGCTTAGAGCTGGGATTCCGTGCGGTGTCCAGGAATGACCGCACGTTGATTACGTGAAACCTGTGACGTGGCAGATGTTACAATTGTAACCGTGGCCACGGACGGGCAATGCTATGGGGAATGGACATGATCAAAAAAAGTGAGCCCCTTGCTTCTGAACATGGAAAAAACAGAAATGCGTTTTTTTTGATCAACCAGCACAATGACAGTTTGAAGGTGGCTTACCAATCCATGGAACATATGCTTCCGCAGGAGTATGGAGAATGCGATTTTAGAATTTCATCTCCCAAAACCATTTTATAGCCGCATTATATAATCCAAACACCGATATCATTGGGGACATTCACAGTATGTATAGGTAATTTCATTTTTGGTATATCTACGGGGTGCATGTGAGAGAACATGTGCGCACAGTTGTGAGTGCACCCGTGCAACAAAAGCTGCCTGCTACATGGACCTTGTGGAGGATTTTCTGGAATTGACGCGAAACGTAGCGCGGTTGCATGGGAGGCATCATCAAAAAAACTGTTTTGCCCAACAAACCAAGCATTTGTTTTCAAACATTCACTCCGCTTTATCATTGGCACATCTTAGGTAAGTGTGTCTACGACGGTCCAATTGTTTCGCGTACTGAGAGATCGTATTCCTGGACGACACCTTCCGAATCTCTTTTGTGACTGGCTTTCTCAGCTTCCTTTCCAGGCTTGCCTCTTCTCCAGCTCTGTCTCTGTGTGTGTGCGTTGTTTCTAAGGAGAAATTTACACTCGCTGGTGGACACCCTTTGCAATAGTGACCCGCGTGATTCCCATTTTGCACGTGCTTTTTGGCGATGGCTACGAAAGCAGGAATGGCGAGCAATGTTGCCTGAACCTTTTTTGTACCTCAGCAGAAACAAAATACGAAAAACAAATGTGTATGAACGTCCAGTTGTCATGTGGAACAAAATATCACAACAAACAAGATCACCTGATATTGCGTGCGCTCAGGGTGGAGGTTGTCCTTTGTGATCCCAGTCGTGACAGTCCCCTTTACTTGGGTGAATGGCATTTGTTTCTACCAAGCGATGTGTTTCTTGCTAAATATGTAAATGTTTCGGATAGCAGGTGTTCACTGTTTTTTTTCCTGCTATCTTTTGTTTACTGTTGCGTCATGTGATGATGCTACAGGTTCGCTGCTATCTACCACTATGACTGGAACCTGTTCAAAGCTCGTTTTCTGGGAGAGGATGGTGTATCTTGGCTTCACAGGTTCAATCGTTCCATTGTCAACCCCAGAGATCAACAATAAGGATCATAAGCCAGTGAATCAAACATAATCAAACCAACACATGTAGGTTTGCGTGTCATTTCTCTGAGGCTATTGCAGCATATTGGAATTCTGTACGGCACACCCAGTGGTTTCAGGAGCATCCAGTACTCTCTTCGTCTGACTCTCTGATTGGTGCTGAGATCTTTTGGTGGTGGTTATGTTGTTTAAATTGGTCACCATTATCTTCGATGTTATTCTGAATATTCTAGCCAACATTGTTCATTTCAATACTCCTAGCCCCAAGGACTGTCAGCTTGATCGATGTGTGCCCCTGGTTGTGCACGGAGATGGGGCAGACAGTCACAGGAGACGCTCTTTCTTAGTGCTCACCATGGGGTCACTGGTTGTCTCAGGAAACTTTTGGGATTGCAAATTTTTACTGTACTGCCTGGACGAGTCAAGTGCTACCCCTGATACAGTTTCAACCTTGGACCTTTGGTGCGCCTGGTCAATGACTGAGTTACAGCTTGGATCCTATATGGATAAAGACCCCTGGGGATGTAGCCTCGCTGCTTTTGACACTGGAAAACGTCAAGGCCTGATTGCCGGCGGCTACAAAGGCATCCTTTGCTACCACAAGGGAGACGAGAAGTACCACCAGAAAGTTTACAGAGCAAGTCATGGAGCTGTGAGTCGCAATGTGTGCGTGACATGCAGGGCAACAAACGATGGTGATATGGTGTACACTGCGCACGGCATCAACGCAATCCATCGCACCACACGTCTCTCTACAGAGGAGTTCATCACTGGGGTTTGCGGCACCAGGACATGGGTGGGCGTACCAGGGTGGCATGTGGGAATGCTTTGCTATGACTGGCTTCATGTCGTCGACTTACCCGTGATTCCTGAAGTCGCTGCATCTTGCCTCGTCGAGCTCACAGAGGAAAGCACATTTGGGCATGCGTCAACTGCTGATGAGCGTTTGCGATTGGCATTTGTTGCGTTCACAAAAGCTTGCAAGAGGGCAGGTGTGCGCAATCGTGGGCAAATGTTCAGTATGCTGCTTGGCTCTTGTGGAAGTTTTTTTTTCCCCCAGCTTCAAGCCCTTAAGGGTTTTGCTCTCTGGTGGTGTTTCTGTTGCACGTATGCTGCCTTGGCAATCCCATCAGGAAACAACTCTATCCAAACGGTGCAAAAACATACCCCACCTTGTGCCAGAAGCATTTCAATGCAGCGGAGCCTTGTTGAAAGAAAAACTTTGTCGGATTGCACACTGCCCATAAAGCCTTCCAAGTTTTACCATGTCCGATTGCCTTGTTCAGAGAATAAATGCACTTAGGAAGCTGTGGTGCTTGCAAAATGGCTTGAATCTGTGACTGTGCTGGTGGCAGAGAGGAAACCACATGATGAACATGCTCAGTTTCTCGCCTTGTTTTTCTCATATGCTTACATTATGTTTCACTGGTCTTTTTCTGAAAACATCCTTTGCCTTTGCTCAGGCTACGTGCTGCAGTTTTTGTCAATCTGGTTGCGATGCGCGCTGCAATGAGTGATTCGTCCAACACCGGAGTCAAGCTGACCGATTCCAATTTGCAAATGCTGCAGCGTGCAAACTATTTGTTCCATTCCGCACACAACTGATGCTTGGCGGCTTTACTTTTGATGTGTCAGTTCAGCCTGCAGAGGTGAAGTGTGATTTCATTGCTTTAAAAAAATCTGATCATTTTGTATCTGAGGGCTTGCGACTGAAGCTTTGGAAAAAGAAAATCTACTTTGGCGCACACGTCCAAAGTATCACAAGTAACTTGTGTGCATATTAGTGTTCTGCCTGCGGGTAAGTAGCCTATCTTACCAAGTGTGCATAAACAAGTGTGAGCTACCTGGTTTTGGGTGGATGCCTATAGATTGTTTTTTCCTTCATGTTTTTCTCGCACCATGTGAGGTTAGACCATATCGTCTACGACTGTGCTCCGGAAGTTTCTCCACTGAAACTAAGCTGCTATACAGATGAGGACGCGATGGGAAAACTGAAGAAATTAGCGATGATTTCATATCCCAACCAGATGGGACGACAAGTTCTGTCACGCTACGCTGCATATACATGCGTGCGATGGCTTCGAAGACTCACAGAATAAGCTAGAGTATATACTCTAAATGTCAAAAGATGTCACTATGTATTTTTTTATGCTGTCATTTTGTGTACTGTGAGTTTTCGGCGACTGCATTTCCAACGACTCCCGTTGGCACCTTCTGAGCCTCTTTCCAAAATGTTGAGCTGGTCCAGCCGATGCCGCCGCAGCGCAGCCAGGTGTGAACTGGTGATTGATGGAATGGGGTTATTTGATAAGATTACCAAAGAATACCTACAAATATATCTTACTAAATCCAGCACATGTTTTTAACAGTTGGTATGACCTTGGGAATAAGGGTTCCCGTAGTGGGACCCCTTAAAGATATCAACTTCCAAAAACACACTGGGGCCCCTTTGGCGGCGCTGGTACATGTGTGTATATATATATATATTATAATTATATATATATATATTTATATTTATATTCAGAAGGAATCATAAATGTCAGAATTGCTGCCATTGGTTTCCTCGCCTGTGGAGTTCCGGTGAAGAAGGCCATGCCCTCGTGGCCTCAGCCGAATCAGCGGATGCTGAGGATTCAGAATTCCCTTCAAAAGCTTCTGGGTGGAAAGAAGGCCCGTTCTGAAGCCTGGCTTTTCCTGAATGGTACACCAGTTATCACCAGTTCCATCGGCGGAATGGGAACATGTGGGAATTGGGATATTTCTACATCAAGGTCGTGCGAACAGACCAACTGTTGGATATGGTGGATTAATGTTCTATGATATGCATATCATGTATCGGGTATGTATCAACAAGCACGTGCATTCGCTTGTTGGCCGTGGCTTCGATCATGAGTTGACTGCAGAGTAACAGTAACTCGATGGCTATTTGAAGATGGAAAAACATGTATATCTATTATTTTCCATGTAGTACACCTACTTTAGCCATCTTTAGCCTACTTTCTACAATTTTCTACTAAGAGGTAGGAAGTTTCTGGTTTCTCCATGTATTCTTGGGCCTTGCTACGAGTTATCCTGACATGTTCCAAGCAGCGCGCCAGGGCGGCTTCAGCATGAACGACGCGGATGCGCAGAAACTCGGCGTATTCTAGGCCCAAAACTGATGATCTATCATTTACTCTGGTAGTTTAACATATCTATATATTGAAAATGGCCATAGAAATAATTAGCTGACTTACATTGAATTATATACCCATTAAACAATATTAAACATGTTGATGTTCCATAGCTATGTGAGTTTACCAGATGGTATCCCTGGGGGAAATTGTTATTTGGAGGCACTCGTTGTGTTTTTGTTTCGCCACTAATGTCAAGTTTTTCCAGCCATTTCGATTCAAATTTGCAGGGACAATCTATAAGAATATCTAAGCCGTCACTCCAACATTGCCACAACAGGCCCATTGTATAGAGATTGACACGTCTTTTTTTCGACGTCCCAACAATTCTCAAGCCAGCTGTGGTAAACAGTGGCACATCCGGGTCCCAGGGGTGTTATTGGAAGGTTCCTGGGTCCTTGGGCGTGTCAGGAGTACAAGCCATCACAGCAGCAGCAGTGGCAAGCAGGATCTGTGAGCCGAGTCGAATCGCTGGAGCTGGACAGGCTGGACAGGCCGTGGAATTTGCCATGGGAAATGAAACAAGCCGCTATTAAACGACAGCTGTACCCAAGCCGCAAAACTATGTAATTACACGTTTTATCTTAAGTCATGTTATGTAAATATGATAATATGTTTTTTAAATTAAGTTTAACTATGACTCTAGTATATGATCTTAAAATACAACAAATTCGACCTTACTATATAAATGATAACATATTTTGCCGTGCTAAGTTATGTTGTTATTCCTATTATGATTCTATATTTTTATCTATTTTTATATTATGGATCGAATGTTTTATTGTAGCAAATTATTCAATCATGCATGATATTACATTATGCTATATTGTGTTTTAGAAACTTGTATTATATCACATGTTATTGTATATCATTTAGACTATATTGCATTTCTTATGTTGCATCATGCAATATTATATTGCATTATTTTATGTTATTGTAGTTGTGATCAGAAGACACTTTGCCGGAAAGAAAACAATTGGCTTATCAGCAGCCAACAGGCTTTACGAATTTACTGGAGACAAAGCCATTCTGTCGGATGGCAGATGGCAGATGCCAGAAGACAAGATCAGCTGAGTTCCCCCTCAAATTTGGCAGAATGAGACCACTGTGTATGGGCCATTTCATAGAAACATGATAATTCGCCAGTGGATTTACAATGATTTACACGGTGTTCCCATTTTCAGACAAACTACTGTAATTTGGCAAGGAGACTCGTGAAGTTTGTGCCAACAAGCCACTCATTTCAAACCATCCCAGATGCTACATGTATGGTATATGTTTACTGTTAGTTACCTACATTTGGATGATGTTGGGGTAAATAAGTTGATACATATGCCATTTATGGGTCATATGATGGAATCATGTGGGCATGTATAGCTCTAGTGAGATGATCCAATGATGGGCCCCGGCCGGAACTCCGGTCCTGCCGGTCCCAACGGTCGGACGCGGCGGGTCGAGGTTCTGCTTTCTCCCTGCGGAAACCGAATCAGTGTTGAAAGAACATTAAATATACAGTTGCTAATCTGGTTGGTTGTTTGGAACATTTTATATTTTCCCATATATTGGGAAGAATCATCCCAACTGAGTAATTTTTTCAGAGGGATTGAAACCACCAACCAGTAGTGATCATTATTATTAATCATTATCACAATTTGTTGGTTGATTAAGTTATAATTATATAATTACTATAGTTACCAATTACCATCATAATAATTCTTGCTTGCTTGTAGGTAGTATCTAGTTCTGCACGTTATAGATTGGCAAGGCCAAGGACCTAATCTGATATAGATTTATATAGCAGTGCATAGCTTGATTCTTGATGGCCTGTGTGCAAGGAATCCATATTATATAGCAGTGCCCACGAGAGAAAGAGAGCGTACAGCATCCCAGAAAGGTGATCGTCAGGGACGGCAGCAGAGCACTCTGCTTGCTGAAATATATTCTCGGTCATTACGGCTGCAATTTGAAATGAGGGTGTCGAGAAATGCTCCATCCGAGGGCCGAGGGCGGGAATTGTGCGACGCGCTTGAAGCACTGTTTTTGGTGGAACTAAATGGAACTAAGGGATCTCTTGTTGGTTGAGTGATGGAACTGGATTTTCTGAAGAACACGGTAGGAAGATGCCTTTTCCAGTTGGACGAGATTTACATTGAATCATTTATGATAGATGGTATGCCCATGCCTTCCCGACAGGATCTAGCCACCAGAAATTTGGAACCTTGGACCCTTCTATCCTTGCCAAAATTGTTCAAATATCGCAGCTCAAGAGTCCTCAGCTGCATTCAGCACGCGTCCCACAAGAATCGCCTCTGCCGTGTGGCACGCGGCACAACTTCCTTTTTCCTTGAAGCATTTGGGGCAGAGGTTGGCCATTTCTGCTGTTGGAGTTATCCATCATCCATGGGCAAAAGGCGGAACGGTTTTCCAGGATACTCAGAAGATTGAAATATTCATCTACACTTGATGGGGTTATGACCATAGTTCATGGGATTTACTAGGACTAGAATGGGATTATGACTATACTATAGTTAGGGCGGATTCCACAGTATATATAGTATGGTGGGTATCTCTGTTCCTGGCGAAACAATCGCCATGGATACCAATGTTATTTCTCAGGGTCAAGTTATATAGTTCACCCACTAGTCCACTCATAGGATCAATAAAACAATCTCCAAGTGTCGCAGAAGTGGTGCAACTCCTTCCCCCAAATATTAAACAACCCCCAGAAACCATGGTTTAGCAGAGGAAGCCACATATTTGGGACCTTTTTAAGGGTCATGTTTAATATCCGAGTCACACATGTTCGGATATCGGCTCCAGATATTGGTGGACGCGGGACTTAACGAACTGATCCATGACCCAAGATTTTTGGATCGATCCGTATAGCGTCCACTGGGGGGCAAACTCACATAGCTGTCGAACATGGTCCATTTCTAGATGAATTACCTACCAAAAAGACGTGAAAATGGTGATTTTTCCGCACAGCTGTGTTAAATTACCAGAGGGTACATCTATCATGTGTTCTGCAAAGAATGTAAAAAGGGTTGGATGCCGACACCATTTTCTGGATGGTAAGAAGAGTTTTTTTTGCTCATTCCCAATGAGATTGGCAGATTGAGTTTATATTTCTGAAATGAAAGTTTTTTGATGGCTGAGGTAGCGAGAGTGAAGGGGGAAACAAAGACCTTGGCTCCAAAGTTTCATGGAATACTGTTGCATCCAAGGATGCAATCAACTGCTTTCTGCCCTCAACACCAGAGGTGTTGAGGGGATGTTGTCCGGATTTTTTTTTTGTTACCTTGTTTGAACACTCCGAACCGCAAATGCGCAGACATCTCGAGCTTCCAAAAGCTGAGTCCACTGCACATGTTTGAAGCGGAGCCTTGCATTTAAGCTTTAGAGTCCACAAATTGAGCTTTCCAATGAAGTCCCGACAGAGGCAATATGACCTGGACTTGCTGAAGATGTTTGTTTTTGTTTTTTTTCCCAAAGGGAAATCCACTACTTAAGGGATCTATAGGGATTTTTTGGGGGTTCCTCAAGCCAATGCAAGATAAGGAACATCTACTGGAGAGCAATTGTCACTGGCCCTTCAACCGCCACGAGCGATTTGAACGGTGCCACTTGCAGCTTGCGATCCCAGCGCGTGCCAAATCATGTTGGGTTTCCAGTGTTCGTTTTCTGAATTATACCATGGGAATCCAATCATCTCCTGAGGATGGCATTTAAAGATATGTAAAGCCAGTACCACGGTGTTCGGATGTGATTGGAACCCTTCAATCACACTGAGTCAGATGGACACATAGATGGGTAGATCAGATAGCGAAAAAGAAACGATAGCTTGGATAGACGGATCCAAAAGAAAGGCAGAGAGATCATTTCAGTTGGATAGATATATAAGATATATAATTATCTTTATAGATAGAGATATAGATATAGATGCAGATAGAGAGATAGATAGATTAGATTAGATTAGATTAGATGAGACTAGATTAGATTAGGTTAGATTAGATAGAATAGAATAGAATAGAATAGATAGATAGTAGATAATTAGATACAGTAATTGCATAATTGGATAATTAGATATAATTAGATACAATTAGATATAATTAGATTATCAGATAACTAGATAATTAGATTAGATTAGATTAGATAGATAGATTTATTGTAAATAGATGGACAACGACGAAAACAGCCAGACAAAGACTCAAAGAAAGAGGAAGGGGGAACGGAAAGGGACACATACAGATGGACACAGATACCGTAAGCGATACAGAGATATTATATGTGTATATATATATATGTGGATAAAGAGAGAGGAGAGAATATCAGATGGAGACTGGCAGAGTTAGATAGAGACAAATACAAAGATGACGAAGATGGTGATACTTAGGTAGCTGGAAACGTAAATTGATAGATGCAGATTCTTGATGATTCTTGTATAGATTTTCATTTTAAACTTCTATAGTTGCGTTGCGCTAGATGGACATGTCTAGACACGGCACTAGCTGCGCGATTGGGTCGTAGTTAGTAGGTGCGTCGGTTTCGACTGGATCTTTAGAGTTTTGGTATGTCAGGCCCATTTGGAGGCACTGCGGCAGTCAAGGCTGGTGCAATTGGTAAACATCAGCAGCTTCAAAGGGACTAGTTGTCAGTTTGTTTGCAATTTAGATCTTTTCAGTTATGTTTGTATTCCATTGGAGAAAGCTTATGATTCCTATATTTTCGATATTTGACACGGAATGTGTCGTAGTCATGTTCCAATTGGTCATTGATCAAGTTCTTCTGTGTCAGCCTGACTCCTGTCAGCACGAGACTGGCAAAAACATTAACTGCTGCGCCATATTTCAAAGCGTTTGCCGAGCCCTCTCAAAGTCGTGAGCGGCCGCTCCGGTTCGGCAATAACTAATTTTAAGGCAAGTCGAATTTAAGTCTAATTCGGAAACCTCCTGCAGAATCTGACGGAAGCAGCTCCTTTTTGTACGATCATGGGAAAAAAAGACCGATCATTGATCAAAATATGGTTTTATGTTGACCCTTCAGGTATGTAGCTGTGAAAGTGTGTATAATCATAATCAATCACTGCGACCTAATGCGACAGACATGTTACACGCATCAACTTCTGCAGAAGGACAGCAATCTGAAGACCTCCCATGCTTGGCTGGGAGGCTGGCGCGCGGATTTTGTAAACGTGTATTTGATATGTGCAAAAGCATCATTTTGGATGACTCGTGTTGGCACAAAAAATGGCTCAGCAGTTCAGCAGTTCAGCGCGGAGATGGATCGGAGAAGCCCAAACCACAGGCAGAAAGCTGGTTGGGTTTTTGTAGAGACAAGATGGCAGTGCAAAAACGGCATTGTCATTTTTTTCCTTTTCTCATTCGCACATCTCTGAATAATATACCATATATATCCATATATATATATATATATCATACATATACATATACATATATATATACACCTATGTCAAGTCGTGCTTGCGTGTAGCTACGACCATGTTACGTTTTGCGGTGACCTTTCACAGCATAACATGACCAGGCGCATCTTCAAAGCAATGCTGTCACATGTTTGATATGTCCCTCTCTCGGAAAAGACATATGATGCCCACGTACAGAACATTTACAGTATGTGACACATATTGGCACACACACATGCATATATACAGTATATATACATTATTTTAGTGGCTTCCTGCGGTGCGTTCGGTTCGTTCGGGCGGTGCGTTCTTAGCCTGCTTCTGACAAACATCCAAATTGCATTTTCTCAGAAACCAAACATGGAGCAAGCAATGTGAACATGTATACTATGAGTGTGCAAACCTCCAATGCGCTCAAAAACTTCCAATTTGCAATGCCAGAGATGTTGAACATGCAAATAGGATCCCACTAGCCATTTTGAAAGCCATTCCAGTGCGAACTTCATTCGACGAAAATGCAAGTTACACTTGCACAAACCCCAGAATTGCAAATAAGATCTTGTGCCCACTGCATTCCGAAAGCGCGTTCCGTGCGGTGCGTTTTGTGTGCCGCGTGCGGAAGCCACTAAGCACATTATATTTATTTGTGTGTGTGCTGGTTGTAGCAAACCCCTGAAAAGTTACCCAACAGTGGAGAGTGCCTCATTGCACCCCATGTCATGGGCCCTGTTTTTCTCCCTATCTAATAAGTGTGTTTTTTTCCTACCTATATTCCATTAAACGAACGGCGGCCCTCCAGGGCCTACCTTGAAGCCACTGAAAGGCACCCAGACATTTGAAAATATTGTGAATCAGATACACGCACAAACACACATACACACATAGCTAGATCCTCCAAGTACCCATGAACAGCTGAAAACGTCTAGCTGGCTTATGATGTAAAACAACAAATTTTAACGAGTACTTGGAGGGATATATATTAATTGTTGAATAATCTACGGTATATAAAGTACAATATAGAACATGAAAATAAATGGTATATATATATATAACTATAGCGTAGTCAACATGATTTGTTTTTTTCAACATGTGATTATAGATATTTGCATATGATATGTATGCACCCTATTCCATCTCCAGGCCCAGCAGAAGGCGTCCTTCGGGTCATGGTGGTTTTGTCGTGCCATCGCTGTGTTTTGGCAAGTGGTGTCTAATGGCAAGTCCAAGAGGGTCAACATGATGATGAACCATATGTTTTCATTAACATGGACAACAATGATGATGATGATGATGATGACGATGACGATGACGATGATGATGATATCCAACATATCCAACAATGATATTCATGGGTCATCAATAATCCATCAATGCTCCATGAATACAATTTCGGCGTACTCAATTTTCGGATTTGTTGTTATATGTGTTTTTTTCTCCCGTAGAACATTAGTTGGATTTTCCCATCCAAGATGACTGTTTCGTATACATTTTTCTGTGTGTTGTTTTCCCTACAAATAGGGACGGAGTATGCCAATGGATCGCCAGGGACTATGCCATTATGCTTGGCTTTAATATTTAGGGCAAGTAAGAAAACAGCCAGCCGGTACCCTCTGGTAATTTAACAGTTCGCTATCGAAAATGGCCATAGAAATAGTTGATTTACCCTGTTTTTCCATATAGTTATGTGAATTATGTGACACTTTACCAGAGGCTATCTATTGAAAAGACTTTGAACACCCAGGAGAAAAAAAAACAAACATCAAACCACACAGTAGGTTTATCCTCGATGGATACAAAAAAGAGATTTCAGCAATGGCCCTGGCTGCATTGGAGAGGATCGGAATCCAAACTTCAGAATAAATGAACGGATGGACAAAATGAGTACTTAGATGGGCCATTGGATTAGCTCAATGGTTAGTAACTGGGGATATAACCCCCTATATCCCAAGTATACAGTATAATCCATTTACTAACTAATTAGTTAACTAACTCCATGGCCCATCTAAGTAGGCCAGCTGGTGAATGGTCGATTCATATTGGTTCTGTTCTGATATGTTCTGATTGTCTCGTTTTGAGTCGAAAAAAAGGTCCGCTGGGACTTGATTTTGCTCATGACGCAGAACAAAGCATGCCGCAGGATGGTTCCGGCCTGCAGCATTTGTTTGAAGTGGCTCAAGCACGTTGTCACCGCTTTCTCAGACCATCGCGCGTCGCAGTTCAACTGTGAAACCGTGGATCCCCCGGAACATTTCAAGCGATCTGTCCCCATGTCGAAGGCACCAGAGGTATCTGAGGACAGAAATGTGGGAGGTTTCCTGGTTCATCCTGGTTCCCTGCCTGTAATTATTCAGTAATTGCAATTATTTTATACTTATTCAGATATAACCCCTTCCCCCTAATACTAAACGCCCCCGCCAAATATTATTATCACCTCAGCTAGTTTTTGAGATTGGGGGGTATTTATTATTAGGGTGCGAAGCTTCCCCCTAATACTACATTTAAAACCCTAATGTAAAAAACTTGTTTTTTTTTCTATTTCAAAATCGATTAGATTTGCTTTTGAAAGCTAATAAACATATTGCCAAAAATTGGAGTTCAAAGCTTTCCCCTAAAAGCATTAATATAAAATACGTTTTTTCGACCTTAAAAAACGGACTCTGATAAAAAAAACGCCCCGGGGTTGACTAGGTTTCATTATTAGGGGTTGAAGCCCTGAAATGGTAGCTTCATTTTTTGTTTAATTGTTTTCTAAAGGGGATCAATTAAAAATCAAATTGGCCAACCTCAAATTTTCCAAAATTGAACCCTAGTTTTTTTGATTATTTGGGGGGGTTAGTAATAGGGGAAGGGATTAGTATAATATATTATAATATATTCAGAGGCTCACACTATGATATGTTACGACGGGCTGAAATTGGTGTGGAGCGCATAAATATATATATATATATATATGCAGCATATTTGGCCTGATTGTGTCATTGATTGATAGTATTATATTATACATTGATTTGTTCCCACATAGCAACTGTGTGAATATGTCCTTCTGGAAACATGGCCTTTGTAACCAGACCTGGTTGTCGAACCTTTTGATACCTTTTGCTGTGATCCAACTGTGGTTTACCGCAGCCATCAGAGCGATGGAAGTTGGCCTTCCGATGTAGGATGAGGGCTTCAACCACCAATCATTTGGGCCCTGCGATGTGTATCAATATATGTACTGTATAAGGGCCACTGAGAGGTTGAGGCCCAGCAGGCCACAGATTCTGGGAATTTTGGAAGACAACCAGTTTGATCCCTTTTTTTCCAGAAACAAAATATTCAATTCTTAGCAATTCATTGATACAATGCTTTTGACGTGCATTACATATATCATTATATATCATTATAAATCATTATATATCATTGTATACATCATTATATATCATTGTATATATTTTATATATCATTGCATATATCATTATATATCATTATATATCATTATATATCATTATATATCATTAAATATCGTTAAATATCATTGTATACATCATTATATATCATTGTTTATATTTTAAATATCATTGCATATTTAAGTATATATATCATTATATATCATTATATATCATTATACATCATTATACATCATTATATATCATTAGATATCATCATTTTTTCATGATATATCATTGTATATCATTATATATCATTTTTTCATTATATATCATTGTATATCATTTTATTTCATTATATTTCATTATATATCATTAAATATATCATTATATATTTTTATTCATCACCAAATATCATTATGTATCATTATATGTCATTAAATATCATATTATGTCATTATATTTATCATTATAGACATATCATTATATAAATCATGTTATATTTCATTTTATTTAACATTATATTTATCATTACATATCATTAAATATATCATTATATATCATTATATATAATTGTATATCATTATGTATTTGTTTATATCAATATATACCATTTTAAATCATTATATATATATCATTATATATCATTATATATCATTTTATTTCATTATATATCATTGTATATATATATATATATGTATATCATTCTATATCATTATATATATACCATTGTATTTATCATTATATTTATCATTATATACATATATTTTGTTATTTATCAGTTTTTATGTTATTATTCATATCATTTTCTTTATCATTATATATATCATGTTATTTATCATTATATTGATATATATATATCATTACTTATCGTTATATAATTATATATCATTATATATATATCATTATATTTCATTACTACTATATACCATTATATATATATATCATTAAATATCATTACATATCATCATATATCATTATTTTTCATTATATATATATACATATATATCATTAATTATATATTATCATGTTCCTCACATTTTTTCGGGTTCAGGATAGCTCCCACTGTTTGTTCTCGGCACAGGAGAATCGTGAGCAGACCGAAATGCAGCCAGCAATGCCGGAGGAGGAGGCCATTTCCATAAGGTTAACACCATATGGTTAACACATAATTCTGGGTAAATTTGATCACGACCTCACTGCGACCGAACCCTGGAAATCATGTTCTTGATAGGGAAATCATCCCCAAATGGCCGCAAGATTCAGGTTAGTGAAATAGTATAATTTACCCAGATAATTGTAGTATAGACATTAATGTGGGCAAAACAATGCCATAAGCTATATAAGCCATCGCCAAAATCACCATGTTTATGGGTCGTATGGTCACCATTCCCAGTCATGGCTGGTTTATGGCATTGTTTTACCCACAGGCATACTTCACAAAATGGTTAAGTCATGTCCAAAGCGTTTGTTTACTGAATCTTTACTGGAAAACAAATGAGCAATACCTCTGATAGAAGATGAACCATGGACTCCATGGCAATTGCCACAAGTCGTCTCCTTGACAGCTACCAGCCAAAATGGTGACTTTCAAGATCAACGGCGCAGTTTCAAGATCAACTGCGCAGAATCAAGACTTACGACTTGTGATTGAAAGTAAGTTCCCATTCTCATGAGATCTCATGAGTATAGGCTAGACCCTGTTGATCCCTGTTGCGGATCATGGACCCTCCAGGAATCATGCTCGAGGAGTGGATCCACCCAATTCCATCCTGTCATGGTTCATAGGTTAGCAGGTGGCTGTGGTCCCAATGTCCCAGAATTAGATGAAAGGAAGATTTCAGCAAACACAACTCCCGGAGGAAAAAAACTGAGTTTCCAGCCAGAAATCCTGAAAACCAATCTAGACACACAGCGATGAATATGATGAATGAGAGAGCATCCAAAAAGGACCTTTGAACTTCGGAGTCAATTCTGTTCACACGGATTTGGTTTCTGTGACCATTTTGCGATACGATCGGATTCAGAGTACTCCGACACGAATTTCTTCCAGGAGACTGCCTCCATTGTGTCGGAAGCCGAAGGTGATGCGCCGATCGAGGATGGGGGTGAGGTCGAAGGCTGGAGCGGTACAGCCATAGCCACAGGTGCATGGGGAACATGTGTATTCAGTTCGACATGTGTGTCGAGCCATTTTGTCTCTTGGGAAACAGGGTGCAACCCTGCTTCAGCTACACAAAATGGGCAACATGCTGGTGAAAATGGGCCGCAAAATAAGTCCCCCAGCATGTTTCCCATATTCAATGGGAATTTCAGGATCCTAAAATGGAGGTACCTACCATATATAAGGCCTATGTAAGGCCTATGTAAGGGAATACCCCCACAAAATATGGCCTTATATGGTACAGTACCTCCATTTTAGGATCCTGAAATTCCCATTGACATATTGTGGGTCTCCAAAACATGCTGGGTCTCCAAAAAATCCGGCCCCCATCGACAAAGGGACGTCCGCAGCCACTTGTGGATCTTGTCGTGCTATTGGTTGGAGGCCAATCTACTGCAGGGAACTCAAACTTTGGGGAAACTATGAATGTCCTCAAAATGCGTGGGCTCCCAGTGGGGAAAGGTCGGAATGCCAAAGTGCCAAAGGTTTTTCGCTCTTCAGCGGCAAAACATGGTGGGCATCAGGCCCTCAAGTTGGATTACCCTGTAATGAAACATGTTAAAATGCCAAAAGAAACAGAGGGGTTCCATGGATTGTCCATTGCCATCTTTCATCGCTGGAGGGCATTTTTTTAAAGCATGTACCCAGTACCCAGCATCAGTTGGAGAGGGCGCATGTAGTTCCGCTTTTCTGAGGAATTCGACCGACATCACCTTGCTGCGGACATCCTTCGATTTGCTCCTGCAACTTGCATGCAACTGGTTTTGCAAAGTGCCTGATATAGACATACTGTAGCAGTTGTTTCCTTTGTCAGCTAGGACTTTGTTTCATCATAGATCCGTAGTTCCCGGGACAGGACACCCCCCATGCTCCCCCCTGGATGATGAAATAGGCATGCCATGGGCAACGACCGTGAAGCCGTTGGGGACGCCATCTATGGCACCAAGATCGGCGCATTGGTGGCTATCAAGGACAGAGAACTAGGTAACGAGGCAGTGGGGCCCCCAAGCGATAGATAATCATTGAGGTACCTAGACACCCCAAGTACCCATAGAAATAGAAAATAAGGATTGAAATTGTGGGGTAACATATCAATCTTTATGGCTACTTGGAGGGTCTAGGTAGGCAAATTCTATGGTCTATCGTGATATATCGGGATAAACTTCATCATGACTTCACGTCGCGACGGGGTGACGGAATGATAGGAGCTGAATTGGGGTAACTATCCCAAAACAGCCGCATTTTTTCAGGTTACTTTATAGCCCATAGGATCCATGGTGCTGCTATATATGGTAACATTTGCAATCAATATACCCCCAATGTTAGCATATATACCATCCATGGATCCTATGGGTAGTGAATTGTTTTTTTTTCCAGAGATGTGCAGAATTATGCAGATCTTGGATCTATAGGTGGACGGTTAAACGGTTAAACCCAACCCAACAAACACCACGTCGTGGGGCCCACATTGTACGCTATGAAACATGGTGATTTTACCCCAGTAAGTTGGGACATGGCCATAGTCATGGGGGTAGCCCCAATGGTTTAATGGGATTGTTTATTGGAATGATGATGGAGGTTTCCATAAATGGGATACCCCAATAGTATAATAGCTGGATGGCTAATGGAGAATCCTATTAACATGGATAATTTGGGGGGACCTCCATCGGTCATGGCTTGTGCAGCAGGACAGCTTTACAACTCCTCGTGCAGTTGTTTCCTTGCGTTTCTTCAATTGCTACTGGGCACTGTCAGTCATTTTTATGGTTGCCTACTATATAGTACTATAGTTGTCTACCCCCCGAATGATTTGCCATATAGCCAAAGAACATTATTTACCGATTGAACATGGAGATGTTACATGATTTTACACTTTACAAAGCTTTGATATAAATTACAAGAGGGTACCAGGGCAGACACAACTTCTTTGAACTTTATTTAATGATATTTAATGGGACTTCAAAACTCATATGAATGAGCGACCAATGGCAATGTTAAATCAACTGATTGGTATTTGATCCTTGCTTGCAAATGGAAACATACCAAGGGCCAAGTGTTGCTCGGCGAATGTTATTCACAAATTATATACCCATATTTGGCGAAAAAATAACTTGATTCAGAGTCTTAAGTGCCGGATCCTTGTAGGAGAACTAGGGCTGTTTATGCCAAGCCAGCGCAGGATGCATGTCTCATCATGTCTCCAAGATCACCATATTGCATCATATTTCACTGAATAAGCCAAAGATCAATTCCATAAACCTTCAATTTTTGTTGTGGATTTCCTAAGATTTTGTGTGAACCAGAGATCCTTCATCTATTCTTCGGCATCCACAGCATCCGTCAGGCTTCCGCTTGCTCCTGGAGAAGGCCGAAGATCCGGATGAATTGAAGATCTATGTGGAGACTTTGGCCTTTAAGCCACCTGGAGATGTGATCATCCTTTTAAGGGTGACTGGGGGGTGGATATATCATAGGAATATCATGGGAATATCACGTTGTGGTGCCCCCCAGTTCATTCCCAGTTCTATATATATATTATATATATATTTGTTGGTTTATAAACCCCATGAGCATCCATGTTCATCCATGTTCTGGTTCGATATATCGTAGAGGGCAGCGCCTGGCTGTATTTCTTTTTAAACTGATGGATAAACTAAGACTCATCTTCAATAGCGGGATATCATACGGTTTATATTCCGTGTGTGTGTTTTTCTCATAGTATGCATATATTATGTCATCATTTTCTTGTGTTCGTCCCTATTGGGATGATGCGCGACTGTATAAAATTACAGTAAATGTTGGATGTTTAAACCACCAACCAGGTTTACATGTGTTTTTCAAAGAGCAGCATTATCTTGGATATGGAGATGCTGTAGATATCACTGATATGGACATGCTCTTTGAACAACCTATAGGGCTATAGGGTCTATGTGTGTTTTTTTTACTGGTGTTGTTTCTTCAATGTTTTTGCTGTTTTTAACTTTCGATGTTTGCCTTTCCAAGAGCAGTGGAGGCACTTTGCAAGCTCAGTCAACTCAATAGGGCAAATCTCGTGGAAATATAGAGCTTTTTCCTCACCAACTGTGGGGAATGGGGCACTGCTGGAGTGCTGAAGAACACTCTTTCTGCTTGCAGTTGCTGAGGCATTTGCAAAGCGAGATTACCGAGAGGCGTGTGGATTCCGTGATCGACGCCTTTCTGGAATTGTTGACGCAAAACGTGCCCTTTGGCCAGTGGATGGGTGATTGTCTTGCAACTTTGATGGAGCATCCGGCCCCCCCAGTGCCCCCCAGAACTCAAGGCATACGGTAGGTCCTAGGTCCTAGGAGTCCTGTCTCAGGGCGATGAAGGGTTGTTAATATGTATATAAATTGTTAATAACCTCAAGCCGCTTCAAGGATCTTCAAGGCTGATGCACATCCCAAAGATGATATGGGTAATATAAGTGTAGCAGCTTTTGCAACGGAAAACAGTTTTTCCAGCATTGATGATGCTTTCCTCACCAGGTGTCCAACGCGTCTATCCAGTTTGGGGTGGCGGCAGCAAAGTTAGCGTATCAAGTTTCTATCGACAGTTTTTGGATAACGAACCTATCTCATATTGGTGTGCCAAAAAGACATAACAATTGCCCCACTTCTGAACCCAATTGTAAATCGGATAACCCACTTAGAGAGGTTGGTAAATGTCATTAAATGTCCTTGTTGGACTTTTTTTTTGTGATTTTGAACACCCGAAAAAAGGAGCTGATGGAGATGATATCACAGGTTGGGTGATGTTTGAGGACATTTACCAACCCGATTCATCAAAAGAATCGTCACCAACCAATTCTTGGGGGTCGCCGTCATGGCCGTCCAAGGCCCAAACTTCCCCCTGGGTCTCATGCTGCCTGGCGTACGATGTTGAGCTACTGCGGCTCCTGCTACAGGTCCGAAAAAAACGGTCAGGTGGACGTCACAAAACTTGGGGGTATGGTCATGGGATAATGGGGAAATAGGAGATATTACCATCTGGTTATTTAACATAGCCATGGAAAGATCCACCATTTGTAATAGGTAAACCATCTATAAATGGGCCATTTTCCATGGCTATGTTAAATAACCAGAGGGTATTATATATCTCCAAGGTGTTCCATGGTGCTGTAAATCACATTTTTAAATAGGTATACCGCGGTATACCTTATATAAATATCTATAAATGGGATATTTTCCACGTACAGTAGTAGCTATGTGAAATCACCAGATGCCATATAGTATCATATAGTGGGGATCAATAGCCAACACAGTTTTGTGGGTTTGAAAATGGGTGGTTGATATTGGCATGTACAACTAACCGGTTCAGGGGAATATAAATGGGATGCATCGCCGAGTAGAACCACAATTTTATGGCAATTTTGAATTGACGAATGAACAATCCCGAACTTAGTTCCATGATTTTACCATATTCTACCATGAACACATCCATTTAGTTAATTTACTTTGGGGATTTTCCAGCGAACCTATTTCACCCGTCCCATCGTCATGACATGTCGGTCATGGCGCTGTTTTCAAGGAAAAACTAGTGTACGTGGTGGCTCATCCCACTTAGGAAGTGGGTTATATCCCAGTTGTAAGTGGATTAACATGATTAACCCTACTTATCCCACTTCTAACTGGGATATAACTAACCGATGTAATTACTACGTAGGATGAGCCACCAAGCATTCATCTTGTTCAATTTTGTGCACTGTGCACAAAATATCACACATGCCAGATATACAACACATGCCAGAAAACTCTGTCAACAAACAGAATTGCAGGGAAAACGTTTGCTGGCCGCAAGATGAATACATGACATTACATGACCAGCAATCACATGTTGCTAGTCTTAGTGATTGCTGAAGAGTAAAACTCTGTCAAACAGCAAGCAGTGAATGTTTCAATCCCAGGCCATACCGGTGAGCAAACATTGCCCTGATGGGACGTCAATCCCCATGTCCAGTTGGACGCACCCAGATTAATGTAGTGATATATCAAAATAATTCAAAGATATTCAAACTATAAAACAAAATTACGTATATATGTACGATTGTATATATATATATGATTTTATATGTATATCACATCACCATCATACTCCAATTAAACCAATGGTCAAAACATCAGCGACTTCCATGATGAATTATTCATCATATTTCGATTAAACCGGATTGCTGCTATAGGTACGTGATAGGCAGAACGGGAGAAAACTTGGTAACTCTAGCTTAATTTTTACTTAAGTTACCGCCCTTGTATCTGAAGTGTTGGGAGCTCAAATAGTCTATGCAGGCTATCTGGAGGTTTCCTAAAATAGGGGTACCCTCACATCATCCAAAGGTGGCGATTATCAACGGGAAAGCCAATGGTGTGGGGTATCCATATTTTTTCAAACTTCCATATATTCCTTTACACCCTCGTTGAACTAATCTGAGATATGCAACTATCGTAATCTATGGGAATCTATGGGGTTACTTGTCCACATCAGCAAAACTGGTGAAAATCCAATTTGATTATTTGATTACCTTAAATGCACCCCAGATTATTTGATATTTTTCTGATACCCTTTGGTAAACCAACATAGCTATGGAAAATCACAATCTTTACTAGGTAAATCAACGAACTAAATGGGCCACTTTCAATAGCGTTGGCTATGTTAGTTACTGTTAGTTTACTATCGAGGGGTAAACCTTTCGATTTTCCAGCGCCAGTGGCGTCCGGACCTCGGTCGTCCGCAGGTTTGTGGGCGATAGCTATGGCGAGCGCTTGCGTGTCATCAAGGTGCAGCCCTGGAGGTTTGCCAAGGTCATGTGGCCACCCCAATAGCTGGATCGTTTATACTGGAAAATCCTCTTGAAATTTGGATGATTTGGGGATACCCCCATTTCAGGAAAGCTCCATAGTGAAAGAAGGTCATGACTGATGAAAGTTTCATTTTGCAATAACATTTTATGCGGATATGAAGTGGGTACTTTGGGATATGACCAGGACCATGCAACCATTCATATTGGGATTTAAGATGATTTAAGCAAGGCATACTAGATATCGGTGTGTCTCAACATGGGGTACACATAGGTATACACTGCAAAATGGCACGTTTGATAGGGATGATTGTGACTCATCATGGGATCTTAAGGCATACCGCATACCCTAGTTTTAACCCCATATCAAAGGCCATATTTCAGGTCTCTACCATATGCGACATCTCTGTTACTGCTATGGGGATATACCTCCACTTTAGGTGTCTGAAACGGCCAGGGCCATGACAGTTAAAATTGCTGCCCTTGTTCGGAATAATTTATAAAACTGGAACAGGGGGCATAATACTTCCGTAACACCTGATTCATACCCTGTCTAAACTGGTTGCAGGGGTATTTTTCCCGAGAGCGTCTGAGCGAAAGGTTCTTCTAAAAATGGGGGTATGTTATACATCTTCACATCTTCACATCTTCACATCTACACATATCATCTTAACATCTTCACATCTTCTCATCTTCACATCTACACATATCATTTTCACATCTATACATCTTCACATCTTCTCAGCAACCCTTTCGCACAAAATGAGGTTGGATCGTCAAAAACTAGGGTAAAATTGCGACTTTGAAGTGTCGGCGGCAACCCTTTCGCACGAAATGAGGTTCGATCGTCAAAAACTGCTTGCGATTTTGAGTGTCGGCGGCAACCCTTTCGCACTAAATGAGGTTCGAAAGTCAAAAACTGAAGTTTTTTTGTGAATTTGGTTGGTTTTGTTAAAGGGTTTGTGTGTAAAAATGTTTGTGTGTAAAAGCGTCTCTGTGTAAAAACTTCTGTATGTATGAGGGTCTGTGTGTGAACGTGTACATGTGCTTGTGTCCAGAGGCTTCTGTGTGTAAAAGCTTTCGTCTGTGTGTAAAAGTGTTTGTGTGTCTGTGTAAAGGCGTCTGTGTGTAAAGTGTTTGTGTGTAAAGGCTTCTGTGTGTAAAAGCTTTTGCGAGTAAAAGCTTTTGTGTGTAAAAGCGTCTGTGTGTAAAAACATCTGTGTGTAAAGGGTTCTGTGTGTATAAGTTCTTGTGTGTAAAAACTTCTGTGTGTAAATGTGTCTGTGTGTAATGGCGTCTGTGTGTAACCGTGTCTGTGTGTAAAAGCGTTTGTGTGTAAAAGTGTCTGTGTGTAAAAGCGTCTGCGTGTAAAAGCGTCTGTGTGTAAAAGCTTCTGTGTGTAAAAACATTTGTGTGTAAAAGCGTCTGTGTGTAAAAGCTTCTCGTTGATTCTTTTGGTTGCCAAGGTTGTCACAGCAACGGGCCCCAGGACGTGTGTGTCTGTGTGTGTGCGCGTGCGTGCGATTGCGTGCGTGCGTGCGTGTGTGTGTGTGTGTGACTATGTGTGCACATGCGCGTGCGCGCATGTTTGTATGTATCAGCATGCTTGTAAGTAAAATTGTTTGTCTCAATTCTTTGTCCTGTGTCTCCTTCATTTCATCTTTCTTTTCTTTCTCCTTCACTTTCTTCATATGCGCCTACTTTTCACAACATGTTTGCACAATGTCTCATCATGTACGTTTCATGCTATCAGATCTTCATACTTATACCTCTCACTATGCTCCTCTACGACTCTACGCTCTCGGGCCATCCGTCGCCTAGTTTCCATGGTATAGGGAAGGCACACACTGTGCCGGGGGGGCAATATTTCTCGCCTCAACCAACACACTGCACCATTTTAGCATCATGCAACCTTTGCAGTTTTTGCCCAAAGCGAACGTGCTGGCCTGGCTGTTGGGGCAAACCCTCTGAGAAGCCCCGGCAAAAAAAAAAACAACAACACACTGCCAAGCTTGTTGTGTGAACATACAAGGATAGAAGGTGTATGAATGTGCATGAAGGTTTTAACTATGGCGTTTAAGCTGGTACCAAATAGTTCATTTCCATTTATTCCGATGATGTAGGGAGGTTAACAACACCCAGATGAATGGGGAACATCTCGAGCATCCACCAGGAAGACTGGGCGATTGTTCAGCAAGCGTCTTCAAAGAAGGAGGACAAGGAGGAAAAAGAGGGACAAGAAGACACTTGCTGAGAGATTGTTCACTTGGGTTCCTCTGATGTATGGTATAGTATGGTATAGTATGGCATAGCATGGTATAGTCTGGTATAGTTATGGGTACATAACTGTTGGTATATTGTTGGTATACTGTTGGCATACTGTATGGTATACATGAAACATCGAACTTGGTTGCAACATGTTGCCATCGGGCAGGGCGATTTGACCATCAAATTTTGTATCCAATCACCAAGAATAGACAACAAAACGTGGTTCGGAACATGTGAAATAGTATTGTAAACACATCAGTTTTTGCAGATCAGAGGCACTAGTTGTCACTATCAATTGATTAGCTGTGTATTCAACATAATTATGGTTGTAAATTTTTAAGACAAACCATGTCATTCTGAGGCCAGGCCTTGATGAGTTAAACGCCTCTTGAGCTCACGGAGACTGTGTGGGCCTGCATGTTATCCATTTGATTTTTAAGGAACTAAGGACTCTCAGTGACACTCACTAGAAAGTATTTACATTCCTTTGACCTGGCAAGACCCCGAACACACCCATGATAAACTACAAGAAACTACCGCCAATGTTACTCGGAGTGGATATGATAGAAGTGGATGGTATCAACCACCCCACATTGTGGGTTTATTTCATTGCCTTTACCACATTAAAATATGACAATGATGTTCAGGAGTTTACCCTAGCATGGGAATTTCTTTGAAATCTCCTAGGTTTCGCCCCAGCATTTTCATTCCTTAGATGCTGAGGGGGAGAAGGAGAATAAAGAAGGAGAGGAGGAGGAAGAGGACAACAGGGACGCAGGGGCTGAGACCTTCAGTGCTTTGGCAGAAAGCCGCTTCGAACTGGGCCATGGAATTGGGTTTTGGCCAAAAGCCCAGCAATTTTAAGCGGGAAAGTTATGATAAAATATGATAAACATAGCAATCATGATTCTTCGGGGGCTGCATGGGGCTGCTTATTCGTGGCATGATGAACTGGTCCAACGGCTCGATTCATGTAGGTAAATCCCAAGAGTAACACCCTTGAAGAAACGATCGTTTTGGATCGCTCCTTTGGACCACTCGGTCTGGTTCACTCAGTAACTCAGTAAACAATGAAAAATATCTTAAACTAATCACTTCATCACAAGAATCATCCACAGATGATTCAGACAATCCAGTTTTCAGCGCTTTTTCAATCCGATCCCGGCCGATCCCCCCTCATTTCTACGACGTTTGACCTCAAAACACCACAGGTTTCGGTCGCATGTGCGCCTTCAGCAACGAAGTCATGGGACAGAAGACGGAAGGCGCGGAATGGATCGGCGGAGACGGTGGAGACGATGGAGCCTTAAAGGGAACCACGAATTATGTATTAAATTGTCATTCAACTCATCCCTCTCTCTCTCTCTCTATATATATATTGTATTATATATTATATATATATCAATATTTATTTATATATTATATAATGATCTTATAGATATCATGCGTATTGTTTTTGGATTATGATTCTGATTATAAGAATATTCTTGTTGCTATTCATGATTGTAATTAATTATCCAGCGGCTGAGGTGATCCTCCGAGAGGGTGGTTTATCATTCAGCCAGGTAAAAAAAAAAAACTATCCCGCTGAGAAATACTGTAGTAATGTATGCATAGAATCTGGTTCGTGGCTTGGAACATTTTACATTTTTCCATATAATAATATATTGGGAACAATCATCCCATTTGACTTTCATATCTTTCAGAGGGAAACCAGCAACCAGGCAAGCTAATTTCCCATTCAAATGGTGATTTACCCATTAAAATGGTGATTTTCCATAGTTATGTTAATTTACCAGAAGGTAATTTCTGCTTCTATGATGACATTTGCTGAACATACCGGTGACAGAGCCTGAGAAAACTGTGACATTTCTCCAGGTTTGACGCCTATCTGATTTGTTCGCCTCAGCCTCCTTTTTTTCGCATGGAAACATCGCATTTTCCTGCAAGCGTATTACGGTATGCTTGCCGCAACTGTTGCCAATTTTGAATTACACATAAAATAATGATAAATAATGCCAATGGACACTTGAAATAATAAAAGCACCAGGGTTTATCGCAAATGCTAGAAAATAGTCCCAACATTTGATTCACAAGGTATGGAAACCATGGCTACTTAGTTCGATGATTTGCCCTATTATATTGATGTTTTTTTTTTCAATAGTCACTGCATTAAATTACCAAAGGTAACATTGGGGAAAATTTATGACAAAGAAGCTTAGCACATGCTTTCCAATCAGAACAGCGCTCAATTAATATTCCAAGCCCATTTGTGGAGTTCTATATTGGTTTTCATAGGGGTGCAGCATGGTGCAGCTATAAATGTTTTGAGAAAGGATGCCAGTTGGTTTGATACTCCAGTTTTTTACACGTCGCGTTCCAATAATGTAGTTTCGAATGTGGGCATGTGTGAGTAACACAGTGTAAGTGCACGCATGCTACCAGGAGCATTTATTATCATTTATGCAATTTTATCAAAACATATTTGCACGTTGTTGGTTTGTGTGTTTCTCATTATTTATCCAATGATGTTTCCTCATACCATTACAAGCTTGAATGGCCAGATCCGAATTTGCAAATTTCGCTTGCATCAACATCGCCAGGTTGGATGTTGGAATTGCTGCAGGTCTTTAACGCAACTTGGCGGCGCTCACATGGTGAGACACTGGAGACTGGCGACTGGAGATGCTATTGATACCATCATGTATAGATGGATGCCATGTGACCATGTGTTATCATATGTTGACAGTATGACAGTGCCAGAATGTGATGTCAGTTTCTTTGTAGATGACTACCCTCTGGTAAACTAACATAACTATGGAAAATCAAAATTTTTAATGGAAAAACTCACTATAAATTGCCATTTTCAATAGCTATGTTAAATTACCAGAGGGTAGAGCATGATAATGTTTTTTAAAGCATGCTTCTTCCTTGTCACCTGCAGTGACGAGCCGCCTCGCGGAGTGGTTCCCCCAATCCTGAGCTAAATACTGCGAAGTCCGCCTATATCTAGATTCCCATAGGGATTGTGGTAGATGATTATATTGTTAATGAGATGGGAGAAACTCAACCAGCATATACAACCGAACCCATCTAAGCATGACTACCATATAGATCCAAATAGATGGATTAAGTATGACTATCGGGCATTACCAACCGTACCTTCATCATACCTTCATCGTGGCTTCAGATTTCCAAGGTGTTGGTAGACATGATCTCCAGCCCAGTGCACCTTCAAGAGGCACAGATCTGTTTGTGTTACGGTCGCACCGGTTATTTTTTCTCTTGATGTTGCAATCATCAAATGATTGGTTTGTGTTGGTTTTCTTGGGAAGATTCAGAAATTGAATAAAGCCTGATATTTGATGGAAGAAAACGTGGTTTCTTGCGATATTTCATGATATTTCCACATATTTTCCGTGCATCAAGCCATTGAAATTGATGTATTGGATTATTGGATTGCCAGATGACAGAGGAATATCCCAGATGTACGGTGGCTGCAGTTTTGTCCCAGGACTATTTGATAATTTCCCTCCTTAATACTAAACCGTCCCCCCTATTAATAAACACCTGGAGGAGTCCTGAGCATTAGGGGCATTTAATATTATGGTGCGCAGCTTCCCCCAAATACTAAATATAAAACCGTACTTAAAGAACTACTTTTTTCATATTTCAATTTTGTTTTCGTTTTTAAGATCTAATTAAAATATTGCCAAACATTGGATTTCGAAGGTCCCTCCCTAATATTTAATCAAAAACCTTTACAAGCTAAAAATCGATTTTAAATGACGAACCCTGATAAAGATGACCCCCGGGATGACTAGTTTTTATTATTAGGGGTGCAACCCTCACATGGGACCATTATGTGTTTGTTTTTTAAGGGGATCAATTAAAAATCAAATTGGCCAACTTCAACATTTCCAAAATTCCAAAACATAAAATGGACCTGTGTTTTTAGTATTTGGGGTACGTTTAAGAATAGGGGGATGGCATTATTATTTTACCTAGGCCTAGGGGTACCATTTGGCACTGATGCATGCGTATTGAAAAATCCTGAAAATGATGATTCATTTAGTTATTGAGACTGGTAAAAATTGCGATTGCTAATTCTATTTCACGGAATCCTTCTCATCAAGAACTTTCAGCAATATCCTAGAATAGTTTCTTCTTTGACCAGAAAATCTGGGCCAAAATTTCAGACCTTGGGACCAACAAAGCAGACGTGGTGCAGCCTGTTCTCTTTCTAAGACTTGGACATTACCGCAGTGGTTCATTGAATGTTTATCATCAACAACATGATTACCCCCTGGTAATGTATCATAGCTTTGTAAAATCACCATTCTTGATAGGTAAAAACCATCTATAAATGGTCCATGTTTATCCATTGTTCAAAGCCATATTCAATGACCAGAGGCTACTCTATGTACTTCAGAACCTACCCGCAGGCCACATGGATTTTCCACCATCCAGCGGGGTCACCCCCATGGAAACTTCCATGACTGGTCAGGAGTGCGACTTGTTGGCCATCAACTTGATCACAAAGTCCAACGCGCCGCAGCTGCAGACTGCTGATCCGTCGGGTAATAATGTAGGGGGTGAAAAGTGTATATTTATAGGTTATATATATATATTATCTTGATCAGATTACATAAGTATATATATATATTATTTAAGTATATACATATATATTTAAAATTTTATATATCATTATATATTTGTAAATGTCCTATATATATAATATATTTAATTTATTATGTTTATTTATTTATGTTTATATATTTGTTTGTGTATGTGTTTATCTATATTTATTTATTTATTTATTTATTTTTATTTATTTATTTATTTATTGATTTATGTTTATTTATTTATTTATCTATATTTATGTTTTCATTCTTGAATTATTTATTTGTTTTATCTATTTATTTTTGAAAGTACATATATATATATATATATTATTTTATATATATGATATATATGTAATTATTTCTGTATACGTTTGAAAATAACGGAAATGTTTGTATACCGGTGTATCCATACACACAAATCTATCTATCTGTCTTTCTCGTTTGTCGATCTATCTTTCTATCTCTCTCTCTCTCTCTGTCTCTTTCTCTCTCTTTCTCTCTTTCTCTCTCGCTCGCTCGGTCGGTGGGTCTGTCGGTCTGTCGGTCGATCTGTCTGTCTGTCTGTCTCGTCTGTCTGTCTATCGGTCTATCTATTTATCTATCTATCTATCTGTCTTCAGGATTGTAGGAAACAAGATTTTATCTCAAGGAATTCAATCCAATCACGCAGACACCTTTCTTCGGTATACACCTGTATTTGAAGGATAATTATATAGGCAAGTTGTTGGTTGATGCAAGGTGAAGCATGCTTCCAAACAAGGTTTTCCGGCGCCACCTCACACAGCGGCAGCAACAACCTGTATAAACAACAGGCGTTGAGCAGCCTCACCTGGCAGATATGATGTGGCTCAGATCCTTTCTGTTGAGAATTGCCATAGCAAACATGCTCTGGCCATACAATTTGAAACTGTGAAACTATTCTGCCGTATGACATGGTACCTGAACGATGTAAATGCAATGGGAAATCAGTACATATCAAAAAGGCACAGCACAGCAGGTGAAAGGATTGGAGAAGGAACACAATTATTCAGGTATTACAAACGAGGGGAAAAAGGGAGGAGGAGACCTCATTTGACTTGTCCGCAGATCCTTACTGGAATTTTGGTGGTCCCTCTTGGGCCCAACAAAATTCCAGTGCAGGACCTGCGGTGGATTTTTTGGGGGCCCCCTGGGAGGGATCATTGAAAACCTAAATTTGACATGCTGCACAAGGTAAGAAATTCCGAGGAAGCTGGCTATGATTGCGCCGCTAGAATCATACAAGTCAATTGGCGCGTAGCCGTTGGCACCATGGAAAGCTTTCAGGCTCACAATTGTAACAAACTTGGGAACCGCGTCCTGCAGAAGGGCATCTCACATGGAATATACGATTTCTATCCACGGTATGCAGCATTCTAGAGTGCGCGTTTGACCTGCTGTGGGCCTGTATTTATAGTTGAAATCTCATGCGTGTATCTTTTGCGTTGCTCGCAGTCAAGTGGGATGATGGTGCTCCAGTTAAAATGTGCATACCACCTTAAACTTCATGATCAGGTATGGCGCAGTAAATGTATCTAGTTTTTCCCGTGGAAACTGGCTTTGTTTTTGTCAAACCCATCAACCCCAGTTTATCTACCTATCTGTCTATCTAACTATATATCTATCTAGCTATCTACCTATCTGTCTATCTATCTATCTATCTACCTATCTTTCTATCTATTTAGCCATCTATCTATTTAGCTAGCTAGCTATCTATTGTTGTACCTATGTCCAATAGATTGACAGCAGCAGGGCCAAGAATCAGGCAAGGAACTATAGAGATGGAACTGAACCTCTCCCCATTGGTCTGTAAACTTGGAATTGTGATGGTCCTTTCTTAGGGACACCAAAATTCCACCGTAGTGGCTACAGTGGAATTCTTGGGGTCCTAGCAGGTATCCATTCATCTACTGTATAAGATATCAGATTTTGATTCCAGCGCTCACCCATCATCGAAGTACTTAGCAATCGAATGCTGATACATGGTGATGATGAAAGTGTTGATGCCGATGAGTGATGACCTTGGCGCTGCCACCTGGATGTCATGGGGACGCGTGTGTGTTTCCCACGTCCCCCTGGGGTGGTAGCCAGGGGGTTGCGTGTGGGTTCACCATGCCCAGACAATAATCATGCATGTCGTGAGGATGATGATGACGATGATGATGATGATAATAATGATGATGCAAGAATGACAATGATGCAGACAATCAAGACAACTGACAATCCTCGACAGATAGCAAGATGTCACAAAAGCCAACGTAATTTCACATTCTCTTCGAAGTGCCAACAAAATAGCTACATGTGATTAAAAGGATGTTTAGCTGACATCGCCACTGCTACGCTTTCACTCCCTTGACCATGTACAAACACAACCTCCGTTTGAGCATTTTACCGTTTTACCGTCGCCCCTGGTCGCCGCTGCCTTTTGCCGTTTTACCCTTTTTCCGTCGCTCCTGGTCACCTCTTCCTTTTACCGTTTTACCGTTTTACTGTTTTACCGTCGCTCCTGATCACCTCTGCCTTTTACCGTTTTACCGTTTTGCCGTTTACCGGCGCGCTTCCTCACCGGACCACCCGTAAGCAAAAGACATACACAACGCCAGCACAGGCTGCAGAGAAAGTCAACAAATCAAACCAAATGCAGAAAATGAGAATTCTCCTAGAAGAGTGCGGAAGTAGAACGAAAAGTTTGAGCCAACTGACAACCGACAGAAAATGAAAGTCTATACCCCAACCGTCCTGAAAATAAACAAACCAGCACATCTTGGCGCTGGAGAAGAACATGCGAGCTCAAACTTAGATTGGCCCAATTCACCTTGGATCAATCCTAGATACTAAGCTACTTGAACAATAAAACTCTGAGTTCAGTACTGAATGCATCATGTTTGTAGTTCTGGCTCATGCTCATGGCTGCAAGCCAAGCAGTTCCGTTCCGAAACTTGCGAAAATATGCGCATCCTGAAGCTGTTTTCAGTCCGACCTTCCATCAGATGATGCTTCCATCATTTGACTTCTGACCTCACACAACCTCACCATTAATAATATTTAATATTGGGAACAACCATCAAGTATGGCTTTGGATGAGGGAATTTATGGCAGACACGTCAAATCCTATGATACTGTACTGTACTGTAACCGTTTTGTTTCCGATCAATATCTCCATCTCAGACTTTTGCAATGTGACTGTACGTTTGAGTTTTCACACCTTAAAAAAACAATCCTCAGTAGTTCCATTCCCACTATGTCTAAAATACTGTAATGAAAATATAGATAACTAGAAATAGTATCATATAGTTGCTGTAATAATTAGATATTTATACAGTGCAGCATTTATGCATCATTTATGCGTGTATTTGTGTGCCACTTGCCCATTGAAAAAGAGCAAACCCCAATTGCCAATGGGCCACGCCCCAACGACTCGACCGGGGCCAAGTGGGGCGCCCGTAAACACGGCTAAGTTGGGGGACATAACTCCATTGTCACAAAAAGTTATTGTATGTATTGTAACTAGGGATATCATTATTATTATTTAATTGGGTTTGACATTATATCTAAGTTTGGGATTAATTATAACTGGGGTAGTGTAATGTATTGTATACAGTTATAACATGTTATAATTCCCCAGGTATTTAGGTAGCTAAGTTGGGTCCATTGTCACTTAACTATAGATAAATCGTTGGTTCATGGTGCTCTTAAGGAACTGTCCGAATCAGTAAGCTAATGACGAGCACTGCCCCGGTGAAACTTGCAAAGAAACGGGGTGTACCGACATGCCCATTTCCAGAGAATTCCAATTTGTTGATTGATCCCCCAATAAAACTCATATAAAACTCATTAAAACAGGCTAAAACTGCTTATGACTTTTTGAGCCTTCTCAGCTGTTGATTCATCCATCGCAACTGAGAACATTGACTTCGAAAAGTTCAAGCCTGTGATGCTTGCGGCTTTGCGATCCCTGCAGCTTAGCTGAATCATGGCAACGACACACTTCGGCCCGCGCACGTGATGGTTAGATATGTTTAGAGAGGATAAGTCGGATAAGTAATGCGGTGACATGTGGCAACCCCAACAATAATAATCCTTTATATTTTGATGGTTCATACGACTCATTCAGGTCATATTCGGGATGGTTTATTCTTGGGTCTACCAAACTACTAGAAAATAGGACATCATTTAGCAAAAGCAGCCTGCCTCAGGTTTGATGAACTGTTCCAATTGGTTGGTTTGGAGAATGATGGCGCAATGCTCTTCAGCTTGTAGTGAAAGATTGGACTTCCGAGGAAGTGGGATGATACCCTACCAGAACACAGGGAAAACCTCTCCGACTTGGAAAAAGAAACGAAGTTTGTTTCTTTGTACCGCCTAGCAAACCCGAAAAAGATAAAAGTTGTTTTTCCAAACAGATTATCGAACTACAAAATCCTGGAAATAGGTATAGATTATTTGGGATATATTAAACATTATGTATACCATCACCAACAGTGTTAATATTTTTGGGAATTACCATATATGCTCCATTCCAAAGTGTTGCTAAACTGTTCCCGCTGGAACAGCTTCACATGGGGCTGGAGGATCCCCAAAGTGAATGGAGGTCCATAGCTGGGACAATCATCGAACTACTGTACATGGATATATATATATAATATATATCATATAAAATATATGTAAATAATATATAAGATATATAATATATATATACTATATATAACATAATATAATATAAATATATATATATATATATTTATTTTATTTATAATATATTTATATGATATAATATATATATATATAATATAATATTTTTATATTATATATATATTATATAATATTTTTATATAATATATATATATAATATATATATATATATCTACATATATATAATAATTATAATATGTATATATGATATATTTAATATTTTCTAATATATATATATATATTAATATATATATTATATATTTATAATCAAATAAAATTATTTATGTTTATTTCTTTATTTATTTATATTTATATATTTTATATATGATAACATATATATATATATACAAGTAACTCCAATTATACCAGATTACATTGGAACAACTTACTATAGATATCTATAGATGATAGATGGGCTAAGGAATTAGCCAAGGGCTGTGATACACGCACTTATGAGGAGGACGCAACCCGGTTACAAACCATCACACGTGGTAAACCCAACAATACAGGATATACGATTTACCCAAATTTACTATTTTGTTGTCAAGAAATCATACTCAAAATGAAACATGGTAGTTCTACTGCTCTCTGATAATTTAACATAATTTAACTATAATCTATAGCTATTGTAATGTATAGTTGGTTTTTACATACACACACATAAATGCTTACATGCATACATACATGCATACATACATTACATTACATTGCATTGCATTGCATTACATTACATTACATACATTACATACATTATCTACATCATATACCCTACATGTACATAACATATACATAACATATACATAACATACAAAGACATACATAACATTAATAACACACATAACAAACATGACATACATGATATGAATAACATACATAACATAGAGAACATAACATAACATAACATAACATACCTACGTACATACATACATACACACATACATATACATATACATATACAAATACACGACATACATATACATATACATATACATATACATATACATATACATATACATATACATATACATATACGTATGCATATACATATACATATACATATACATACACACCTACGTACATACATACATACATACACACACATATACAATCATATACATATACATATACATGTACATATACATATGCATATACATAAATGCATACATGCATACATGCATACATATTTACAACATACATACATACATACGTACGTACGTACGTACATACGTACATACGTACATTTGTACATACGTACATTTGTACATACGTACATGCGTACATACGTACGTTCGTTCGTAAGGTACATACGTACATACATTCATACATACATATATATATATGTTATCACATACATACATACATACATATATATATTTACATACATACATACATACATACATGCATCCATACATACATACACACACATACATACACACATACATACATACATACATACATACATACATACATACATACATACATACATACATAGATAATGTGATATTTTCGACAGTTGCGTTTCTTTACCAGAAACATCTCAAACCAGGCTGCCAAAACAATGGAGCACGCTTCACGAAAACGCCTGGGAGTGGTTGTGGATGACCGTTGCCCGCAACTTGAACGAGTCCACCATGAAGGCCCACCCTGGTGGCGTCACTTCGGTGTCACTGGAATGATGCTGAGTAGTAAGGGGAAACATCCCCAAAAGACTTTATTTCAGCCAGATCTTACACAAGGTTTTGACAAATATGTAGCAGAGTCATGGTTTCTTCCTCATATTCATCATATTCATGTAATGGGCTGCCATTTGTTCCATGGGCCGTAGCCATGCCGAGCCAGGTGCGTGCTTTCAAGCCGTACAATGGGCGCATGTTCTCGTCGTTGAAAGAAGAGTCTCCTGGATGGCACGGGGCCGCATAGCTTGGACTCGTTTTGGGGTGCATCTAAGGCTTCGTTTTGGGGACCACCGGCAACTTGAAGAGTAAATAATGATAAACCAACAGATTTATGTCATTTATGTGTGTGTACCCTATTTGCAGACAAATCCATGTTGCTAGAAGCGGATGTTTGAGTGGGAAACATGGTATCAATGAGCCCCTGTAGCACACAATCCTGTCCAATCCAATGGATTTCTTTTACAGTCTCAAAATTTGGACCACCCTTGCGCTGCAAGTTATATTGATTTTAAAACAATAATAAACATACCTGTGACGACCTGTGAGATTGAGTTTTTACTTTGAAAGGAACGTGTTGGAAAGCCAGCTTCCAACGGTTTGCTGCATTTGTCTCCCTCCTCAAAAGCCTTAAACAGATATTGATGACTCCGGGTAGGAGGGCCTAAGTGGCTGCTTTCCATTCGAAAGATGCCATGGGGATTATATAGTTTGTGACCGTTGAGCTTGTAGCTATACACAATACTGTATGTGTGTGCACAATCACATACATCAACGAGCGCGCGCACATACAAAAACACACACGCACACACACACACAAAAATCCGCATTCGCACATATACATGGAGTATACATATTTTAAATTTCTATACACATTAACTATGCATATACTGTAGATATGTATGTATATAAAAACATATATTTTGTTGCAGTGCTTTTGTGTGCCCTGAGGCAGCTGGATCGCTTCCGAACTCATATCTTCACGGAGTTCTTTGCGAGAAGCCAAGCGAGTCAAGACTTGTTCAAACAGCTCGGAGCACCCAGCAGCCCCATGGGTTTTCCCCATGGGAAAACCATGGGGTACTTCAGCATCCCACTTGGTTATTGGTTTTTACCCCTAACTGCCCTAAATGTTGTATATGGAATATCCATGAATAGCCTGGATATGAGATTGTAGGGTTTATGGTTTATATTAACAAGTTACTAAAGTAAACAGCTGGCACATAGAATATTAAAAATAAATAGGTGCCACTAAGAATATGGAAAATACATAGCAAAACCTATTCCTGGAATGTCATCCACATAGAATATTTATCCACATAGAATATGGGGGTATATATATAGTATATTTACCTTATCAAAATCTCAAGACTCTCCAAGCAAATCGTTGATCAGTGAAATCCAAAGTAAACAGAGCGGACATTGCCATGCAACATGATGGTTTGATTCATGATCAACTCAGCACATCTTTACAAGGTATATATTCTATGTGCATCGTCTGTGGATATGCACTTAGAATATTGTTTTCACCCAGGAAAAATCATGTAACTAATAGACCTATTCGAAAAAAAACAATGATTAATATTCTAAGTGCAAGCCGATTACTATAAATGGGATTCACATCCAAAAATGAGACATTTATTTCTGAACATTTTTTCGGAAACTGAAATTTGAGCCTGAGATAGACCTCACATAATTAGCTATAGATGGCGGATTTACTGGAGTAAGTGGATGTAAGTGGTAAACCTATCTATCGTCAACATGTAAATAGTTTTTCTTCCCTTGACTCCAAAAAAGGGGCGCGCATCCGTTGTGATCCAATGTGAGTAGCTGCAATTTCGGTGATCGGTCACCTGAAAGCGCTGCTTAGCCAGCTCTTCGTGGGCTGGTTGTTTTGCGGAACCATCATTTCAATCTATATGGAGGTTTCCTAAAAGGGGGGGTACCCCTAAATCAACTATTGAAATAGAATTTTCCCTTACAAACCATCCATTTTGGGCTGTCCCCATTGTAGGAACCCCCCATATATATGCGTATGATTGTGCATGTGCATGTGTGTATATAGAAGATTCATATTTATATGCGTGGATGGGTCCGGGATGATTGACGCTATTCATCACATTGAGGTCGCAATCGAGATTGCGGTACATTGCAGACAGGGTTTTGCAGTCGTCCTATGACATGTTCCACAAGAACAAAGATGCATCTGGGCCAATCCGAGAACCAGCTACCAGGGTAGGGATTCTCCTAATTTTCATCCAATGAAGTTGGAGGTGGCACTTGGGAACCTTTGAATGCCCAGGAACTTTTGCGACTTCAAATGATACAGTATTTGATTATATTAGATGTTCATGTCAGGATCGATTCTAATCAATAACTGGGGTGGATTTAGTAAGGTTCTTTGCGCTGATTGGTGGTGCTTCTATGTTTTAAGACATGGTTATAGAGTTGGTTTTTAACATATGTTACAAGTCATTCAGGGATATGTATGTGTTGCCCAAAACTCTCTTGATTTAACATATTGGAGAAAACGTATTGCTTCAAACATGTTTGTCTTGTTTAGATGTTACTGTTTCCATGATCGACTCATGTAAATTCATATGTCACATGCCTTGCCGAAGGCTAAACCCTCCTGAGCAAAGATCATTTACCAGTGTTTCCATAATGAATTCAGATTTCCTGTCCTGGCCAAGGAGGTACACCTTCCTGAGCAAGGATTTCATTCACAAGTTTTCATTATCACACCTCCTGACCAGGACCAAGGAGGTGCACGCAACAATCATTGACATGTTTTCATTATCCATCAGTGTCCTGACCAAGGAGGTGCACCCTCCTGAGCAAGGATCGTTGACATTCATCATATAAGCTTCCTTGGCCAAGGAGGTACACACTCCTGAGAAAAGTGTTTTGTGAACTTCTTCTTTTTTTTTTGCCACGTTCATTGCGCAGAGAGGCTTCTATAGTTTCCTGGACAATTGGTCAACACCAGCAGCTACTAGGGGGAAGTCACGCAAGGAGGCTCCTTAGGTCTCCTGTGTCAGTAGCAGCGTTTTCTCAACCAATGTTTTCAGCCATGTGTCAGACGAGCCAAGCGACAAGATTTGGCCAGCTCCTCATGCCGGTGAGCCCAAAGAGGTCGACTTTGTTTTGCAATTCTGAGAAGCCATGGAAGCAGGATGCAGCAACCTCAGCCCAGATGGTTCAACAGCAGCTTCTCCGCAGGGTGGGCTCAAAGACAAGCATGGCTATTTGATGAACAGCGCATCTTGACTGCCGCCAGAAGTTTCGACTCGTTTTGCTCAAGTTTTGTTACTAAACTAAACCCCTATGTTTAACACTGACAGCTGAGAACTCGGAGACACGCCAGTTAGCCAAAAAGATCCGAGCAGAGCTGCGCTGTTGAAGCTGCTATTTCCCAGACTGAGATTCAGATACTTGCTGAAGATCATTTTTGGACGTCGCATCTGACCGTTGTCCGGAGTGTATCAACGTCTCATCGCCGCAGGGGGGACGCGGGTGAGGGGAAAAAATGGCCGAAGGGGTCACTTTGAACGGTGGCTGAGTGTCATTCAGTAATTTCTTTCATGGCGGCAGCCAGCTTGGCAGGCTTTCCTATCAGTTGATCAGTCATTATTATTGTTAGCTGCAAGCCGCACACATTTCCCTTTCTGCTTGACCGGCTCAAACCTAGGGATCAGCAAGTATGTCAGAGCAGTTGGGCAACTGTTCGCTTGGCGGCTATGATGATGATGCACATGTGAAAGCTTGCTCTGCAGGTGCAAAATGTGCTCGATGCACATGGGTGAAATATAAGCCTGTATGGCAGAAAGAATTAGCATGGTTGGACGCCAAAATGAATATGGAGAGTGGCAGTTGGGGCTTGGGCTGCCGACTGTGCCATGATGCTCAGGAAGTGAGTCCTGAAGCCATGTCCAAGTTTCCGGTTTCCAGGCATCACTTTGCAAGGTATGAAGTGAACAGTGGTGACATTCGTGTGGCTCGTTTCCGCAAACATGCTGCTTCGCCTGCTCACCGCACTGCTGAAAGTATGGCCGGTGGCAAAGCGCCAGCGCTTGAGGAAATTGGTGGTTTCTCGCCAACCATGTCTGAATGGAAGTCAGTCATCTCTCACAGCAAGCCGGGTCACTGTCAAGCCGATGTGGACGATGCAGTCTCCTGTTGTCTATGTTTGCCTTCCGCGGGCAGCAAGTTGAGTTAAAAAAGATCGCTACTAAGGCCTCTCCCTACGATTTCCAGGAAGCAGTTCGACCGCCATGTGTTGCACGTGTTCACCATGTACAGCATGGCAGGCAAATACGCGTTTGGCCGCCGTGTTCGTACACGGTTTACCATGTGCTAACATGGCAGCCTCCTTTCTTTATCAAGGAGGCTGCGCCATGTTAGCACACGGTCTGCCAGGTGGTAGCACGGCAGGCAAATACGCGTTTGGCCGCCGTGTTCTTACACGGTTGACCATGTGCTAACATGGCAGTCCTGGTCTTTGAACTCTCCAGAGGACCCGAATTTAGTACGGGTCATGAGCATGGCAGCCAAATACGCGTTGACTCTTGCAGCTGGCCCGAATTTAGTACGGGTCACGAGCATGGCAGTCAAATACGCGTTGAATGCTGCAGTTGGCCCGAATTTAGTACGGGTCACACGCATGGCATGGTACAACCGTCTTGATTTTAGCAGGAGACATTTTAAGATCCTTGCAGTCCTGGCCCAGCTGTGAGTGTACCTCCAACTTAGTTATTACTTCCCACGGCTGAGTTTCTGCAGAGTGGGTGCGTAGTAGCCATGGCTCCCAAGAAGTCAGCAGCGAAGAGAGGCGCGGAGCTGTTGCCTGAAGCTGCTGAGCCCAAGGCCAAGGCTGCCAAGGCTGCCGCCAAGACTCCGAAAGCTAATGGCAGCCAAGACCCGGCACTCATGGCCAACTTGGCTTCTGGCAGCCCGGGGGTGTCTTCACAGGCGCTTTGCCTGAATGGTGGAGTTTGGGCAAAACATGCAGAGAATGTCCGACGTTTCAAAGAGCAGGCAGTGAGTGAAGATGCTGTGCAGCTCCGCCCCAACACGGCATTCTTTGAAGAATAGGCGGCATGTTTCCAGTTTGACCTGTTGAAAATCATTTGAGTCAGCTGCGCTAGCCGTAGTTACCACAATGCTTGCACATTCAGTGCTGAACATTGCCGCAATGCAATTCAACCTCGGTTTTGCTTTGTCCATCACATCGACCCATTCGACCCAGGTTTTTTGGCTCACAAAACTAGTCTAACCTGCAACATGGCAGCAGCAGGTGAGAAGAGATTGTCCCAAGGTGTCCTCAACAGAGCTGACTTGCAGTTGGGCGTCCAAGCCTTCTTGCGGTGGGATCCAGCACTCAAGGAGAAGAGCGCGTTCGAAATGGAAAATGCTCGTGAGGCTTTGATTTTTTGCCAGCCTTTCTTCAAGGAAGACCGCACCAGGTCATGTGCGCTTGCCTGTGCCATCATGTTTTTGACCATCCTTCAGATGACGCTGGACCGCCCTGGCACAGAGCCCACAGACTGTACATGGACCGCTCACCTTTACACCAGGTCTGGACAAATCCAGCCTATGCAAGAGAAGATCGAGAAATGTCCAGCTTTGACATCGCGCGACTTGCTTGCAGGAAAGGTTGGTGAGTTGGATAGCGCTGCTTCTTTTCTTTTGGGCGCCATCAACGCCATGCCTCATGACCTGCTGCCCCAGGCGCCGCATTTCGAAGGCTGTTTCGCTTGCCTGGACGACTTGTTGGTGCATATGAAGTTTCGACTTCACCAAAGTTCTTCTGCTAGTTAGGTTCGAGACCGAGGCATGTGAGCTGAACAAATGTCCTTTGGTGCTGCTCGCTTTCGCATAAACACAGTGGCCCCGAGAACGACCCGGAAACTTTCAAGGAGGACATCGCCCTTAATATCGAAACCTCCTGTAACGCCAAAGTTATTGATTGATCATAGCTCGACAGACATTATAAGGAAGGCCTTGCAAGGTCTCCTGCGCACAAGCCTGTTTTCAAGGAGGTGTTGCCTCCTTTGTTAAAATTTATGGGAGGCGCCGCTGTAAAGTTTGTGGAGGGCGCCACCGCGCAGAGCGGGGAGGGGCTCTGTGCCACAACAAAAACACCAGAATCACCTACTATACACATCGGATCTTTGCACAGTGACGCTTAGCATCAGTCATATTTGTTTTCTAGTTATAACTGATCGATTTGTAAACATCCGGAACACCATTCTTCAGTTTTAAATCCACATTACCACCCACTAAATAAAAGCAACGCCAATAACTTCATCACAGAAGCACCTTCAATCAGCACAAAGAACCTTACTAAATCCACCCCAGATAAGTCCTGGAAATGTTTCAATAAGTACATGTCACAAATATAATATATATATATATATGTACACGCCTAGGACGTAATTACATGCATACACACACATGCACCCATATATACTGTATATATATGTGTGTGTGGGCATATTTTGTATATATTATTTGTACATAATGTTGAGTCTCATCAGGTTTAGTCCATGATCAGCAAGGGATTTTGAACTCAGCAAGTGTTTCTCAGAATCACAGTTGTGCATCTCTGTGAAGCTCTAGGGATTGCATCACCTGGGTCCACTATTTTCCTCATATCATATATGGATTGGATATATATATATATATATATATAAAATACACATTATATGCAAACTCTAGGTACATTCAATAAATGCACTAAATCACACTCTCTCTCTCTATATATATATATATATACATACTGTATATATATATATATATAGATAGTGAGATTATCTATATGGAGCGTTACTCGTGTGATTTGTCGTGTCCCCAGCCTTTGTTTTTTTTGGCAATTCGACAAAATCCCAGCTGTGATCTCCGAGGAGACTCTGGATGATTTGTCTGCCTTGGGATTGCGCCATGTAGGTTGGAAGCAATGGGCCGCTGGAGGGTTCTGAAACTGGTGCTGGATATGATGTGCTTGATGATTTTCCATGCACCATCCAAAATTGCAGACAGTAAATGTTCGATGGTGCTGAATTATTGGTCAATGTTTCGTCATTTTGCACTGCTTTGGCTCCTCCCACATCCCAATGAGCACAGAAGGCCTTACTTGTTCAACCATCTTGTGGCTATGTCGCATTTCCATTTTGAAAGCCAAAAAC